ATGGAGTCCGACATTATGAGATGAAAAAAATAAGTAATTCAGCCTAATGATTGATCAATAAGATTAATAGTTTTGTGTAAAAAACACTTTACATACAACCGTCATCTAAACAATTTTATGACTGTTTTGTTTTAATTTAGTAACGTATATACCTACCAAACATACGACTACCAACGTGTTTCATTTTTCAAACAATCAGACTGATCACCTAATTCAATAATCCTGATGATTCAAGGAACACCTAAGGAGTTTAAAGTTTAAGAAGTTTGTCAAACATTAATACTTAATAATTATCTAGGTATATAGACTAGGTATGCAGGTTGCTTATGGGCGGACATGCTCCATCGTACACCGCATCATAGCTTATCACCAGGCGAGATAGTGGTCAAACTTCGGCCCATCAAATATATAAAATAAAAATAAAACAGACTAATTTTTTGCTAGGCAGGTCTCCTGGTCCATGGGTGAAAAGAGTGAAGTATTTTTTTTTCGGTAAGTACAAATAAAATAAGTATCTTTTCCTTCTATCTATGTAAATTAAGAACATTATTCCACCAATATTTTACACATTTCACTTTAGTTAACAAATATTTAAACGTCGTAGTCGGAACCTTCTCAACCAATATTATTTTTATCACAAGACAATAAAATAAATAATGAAGACAATGACTCTGACATTGAATTATTGTAGTTAGCAAACATCACATTCAAGTATGAAGCGCGTTTAATTAATAATTTAGTCTTAATTACAAAGATCTTGTCTCAATCAGGACCGCAATTGGCCAAATTGACTTCAGGGAAACGACTTCGTGCAAACTAAATAGATATGGCAGTGAATTGTAATTAATGGAAACAATAATTAATAAGTTTGTTTGTTTGAAATAAAATACGACTGTTTACTTATCAATAGCTAATTAAAGCGGTACCTATTAATTTAATAAAAAAATAGACTGTTACTCGAAGTCCTATTTTTTAAATATAGATATTTTCGTATTAGGTTTAAAAGAAATAAATCATTCGTCATCAATAAGATTTTCACAAATCTGAAAGTGGAATATCTGGAGCTCCATATATTAGCTAATTATTGTAGAAATAGGCTACTAGGCAAACAGTATATTGCTCTTAATGGTAACTTTAAAATGCTTGCTACATTATATTGCAAATGTAAGCAATAGGATCGTTCACACATGTGCAATTAAGTGGAGTATGAAAGTTATGCAACTTTCCACCATGCGTTGCGTTGTTGGGCTTAAAGAGCGCATTGCAACTATTGCAACCACGTACCCATAGGCCTCTGAGTTCTACGTAACACTTGCAGTGTATTGCAATCGACGTAATTAAAGATATTATTGCCATAATTACCAAAGCTGAGAATGGGGATCACAATGAGCATTATACATATGTATAATACTAACCAAAGGTCTTTAAATATCAATCTCTAATCGGCGATATATTAAAAAATGGTCAAATTAAAAGCACTATTAACCGACTGATATGACTGATACGATGAGGAAGATGATGTTGAGGAAGCGAAAGAGGTATGTAAGAACCGTTGCAACTGGTGTTCCATAGTCACTGCCTACCCTCATGGGAAACAGGTGCGAGAGCTGGAACACCAGAGGCGTTACAGGTGCGTTACCGGCCTTTTGGGGATTAGGAGTTTGAGGATCGTTGGGGATTCAGGAATTGGGGAGATTGGGAAAGGGGAGGGTAATTGGGCCTCCGGTAACCTCACTCATACGACGAAACACAACGCAAGCGTTGCTTCACGTCGGTTTTCTGTGAGGCTGTAGTATCACTCCGGTCGAGCCGGCCCATTCGTGCCGAAGCATGGCTCTCCCACACTTAAATGTACCTATATGTATGTATTTAAACAAAAGCATTTTAGGGATAGATGTTTACTGTTCACTGTGTTTCTTCGTTCAGTCCATAATACCTGACTCGAACTTTTGTTTTTGAACAAGGGATACAAAGGATAATTATTATCTCAGTAAGCAAAAAACTATTTTCGTAAGCTTTATCTACGTAAAATCTACCTCAGTCTGTAAACAAAAGCGAACTGAATACAGTTTCGGACTAGTTTACCAACAGTACCTGAAATAGTTTACAAACAGTACGAATTCTATCTTCATTGTGTTAAATTTTTTGTAAATAGGTACATTGATTTGCAAAAACAATCTTCTCCATGATGATGGTGATAGTTTTCTCGATAACATGCCATGCTCGCTATAGGAAGTTATTAGGTACTTCAAAAATAATGTTCTTGTTCCGCGATATACGGACGTATGGGATTGGAAAGCTATTACGTGTGACGATGACTTGAAGAAGTTGCAGATAGGCGTAGAAAAACATTGTATGGACCACAAAAATATCTATGGTATAGACACTTGATTTGAAAACAATAAAAAGATCTCAGTAGGTACTATTTGGAATACATTTAGAAATGAAGTATTATTTTTTCAGTAACTTACGTTTACATAAGTTAAGAAAAAATGGAACTGTATTCTGACTCTGGACTGTTATTTATTTAAACTATATTTAGGTACTACAAATTGAAAACAACAAAACTTTCCATACATATGAGAGTTGATTTCGCTTGTCTTAACCCTAATTTTCGCATTACTCAAATATACATAATTATGTATAATTAATATTGTCATAATTTTTCACAATAAGAATTATTTGTATTTTAACAATAAAGTTGACACAAGTGTAAGTAGGTATGCTTAAAAGACAAAGATATCTGATGGCACCAAGATATGCCAAATGTTCAAAAAGACATCTGCATAAACAGTTACAGTTTGAATAAATACAAGTTTAATACCTGAAAATCTTATCAATGACGTATATTTGCTAACTTTCCGAGTACAAGTACTATTCCTAAGTCTCAGGTCATGGCACACTGTCATTGTTTGGACAACTGTAAAGTGGTTTTAATTCAAAATGAGTACGGTTCCTTCGATATAACCTGTTATAGTTGACAACGTCAACAATCAACATGCTTAATTTTTATGAGTCCTAGGAGTGAACGCACTAATTTTACCAGCTTTTATGACTGAAAGAATAGCTGTTAATCCAATAAATTAGTAGGCTGTAAAAAGTGAAAAGCTTTACTAGCGAAAATCATATTATAAAAAAAAAATACATGGTCTCTGTATCATTCGTATATCAGGCACTATAAATATTCCTAGTATCTGCGGCATCAAAATGTTAATAACATACAAAACCTACAGTTGCGTGATTTTAAATTGTAATACCAGTGTGCGTGTGACTGACGGTGACGGAGCTTAATCACGCTTGGACTTTACGCCTGCACAACTTCACAACATTCTAAAGTCAGCTTTATTGTGGTGTACAAATTGCGTCCTTCAAGGACCCGGCTTATTTTTATAATAGTCTGTCATTACTTGCCTACATTTTGCAATTGCAATGTAGGTCTATTTTACTTTGCAGAAAACGTCGCTACTTTAACTTAAATAAAAGGACAAGATAAAGCAGTAACTCGATTGTGTTTTATCTCATAAATACTTAAAATGATTCCCTTGAACTTTATAAGTCAAGTAACCCTATAAAATGAGGGAACGCTCTTTTTATTATTTTTATTTATCGTTGTTCTTTGTAGGAAATTGTTGCTTTACATTAATTATTATGTTTTAAGATTATTATGATTTATTTTATAGCACTGTTGTTTTTTTCTAATTTGTATCTTTAATCGTTTTAAGACAAGTGGGTGGACTTCTGAAGTCAGTTAAGTTTACTGTTACTAGAGATGCTTATATAGTATGTCCAACAACGGACGAAAACGGGCTCATGAAGATGATGATGATGATGATAATGTCATTATGGCAACAGCATTCTCTACTCTCTATCACTACCTAAAACCCCTAAGACTTACTAAACTAATTATTTTTGTATGAATTTACTGATGGGACCACATGGAGACATTTATCTCCTTGATTTATCTGGCTATTCTTGCATATACATAAGGGCTAAAAATAGGATACAAGGCAAAAGAGGCGATTTCTAAATCTTTAATGAAAATCGACGTTGTTATTTTTAGCTTCATTAAAACTATTTTAACAGAGTTAAGCGTATTTTCTTCGCCTACCAAGTTTGAGTGGGAGTTATGACAATCTCCCTCCGAAAAGGGATGTCTTTGTTCAGCAGTTTATGTATTCCGACTGATATTGATGATGAAAACTATTTTTGGCTATTTGTAACGACATTTTAAGGCCCAGTTTGGAGTCAGGATTTTTTGTGTAAATATATGAAACTGTTGTCAAATTAAAATTCTATTTTTTCAAACAAATCCGCCGCTAGACACCATTATTTAGGTGAAATAAAATAAAATAAATACGTACTTGATTGAACGGAAATACACATTGACGTAGGAACTTTAGTACCTATGTACCTACTCACCGAGTTATTATTTATTTGGTTATTATGTACATCGAGATAAGTTTTGCTATCGTGGGAATCTACTTATGCTATTTCTAAATGTGTGTCGATAAGCCTCGTGTTGAGGTGTAGGTACATGATATTTTGTATTTTTAGGGCCTATTTCACAATGCCTAATTATGTTTTTGTTAGTGTGTTTGGTGGATAATATGATGTATTTTCCATAAAAAATGTGTATAAAATAGATTTGTGTTAGTTAGATAAGCTAAAAACAACTTAATCTTCTTGCCTTTCTTTGAAAGATACCTTAACTTGACAATTTTTACTAGGGGTCTGTAGATCATTATGATAAAATATCAGTTATATGCATTGCATTTGCTGTAGGTAATAAATGGAATAAAAAAATTTACACTTACACAATATTTAAAAAAATAATTACCTATGGAGAATTATGGAATACCTATTTACTTAAGAAGTAAAATAAAATAAAATATTGTTAGACTTAAATACTCCGCTTCAAATAGATAACGTGCAAATTTATCTAAGTAACATTTAATACCGGTAACTCGGTAATAAATATCTATTATCACAACATAATTTACCTGCAAAATAGGTTTCAAAGTCAGGATCTAGATCATAACTGTGGCACAGGAGGGTGGAATTTATTTCATTGTTCGTTTCGGGAAGGGATATGTCCGCACTTATGTGACGAGCGGTCAAAACACGCGGCCCACTACTAGCTTCACCTGACAAATTCATTTTTACTAAATCACAAAGTCCAAGTACAAATTGTCACTTAAAACGTTTATTTATTTATTATTCAGGACAAGCTTTATTCATTACATATTCATTATGTATTTAATTGAATTTTATTTCACGTTTCGCGTTTACAAAATGGAATTTCGCGCGTCATCCGCTTCCCGCGTTTTGTGCGAGCGCCGAGGCCAAGGCATCTGAGCATACTGCCTGAACCAAACTGCCAGCAGCATGTTCGTTGTCGCCGGCTATTGCGTTCACTTTCTTTCGACATTTTAGTGAACTGTCTGCGCAACGCCTTTACTAGTGATGTTAACCCATTTGGATCCGCCGTCCCCATATGGGGACAGGTTTTCTTTTACCCGCTGGTTATTAATTATTTTAGCTATCTTCATATTTCATGGGTATTTATAATAAGGAGTAGTGTACTTTCCTAAAATTATTAGAACTTTTGACAAATTGCTACAAAAAAGGGGTCATATTGTCAATTTTATCGAGAGGAAGTGAAATGGGAATTATTATCGAAAGCAGAGGCGTTTTGTAGTACGTTATTATGAAGATTTATAAAACTTTTTTGTGATTATTGCTTGCTTATAGTGTCAATTAAAACAATATTGAAGAATTTCCTTATACTTTTAATTCCGCTTAGGGGAAAATTAGAAAAAATGATGGTGTCCCCGTATGGGGACAATGGGCACATCTGTAGTATATTTTTAAAACATTTATACCTGATTTGTATTTTGTTTTCCAATTTATAAAGGTCACCTATAGGCTAAACTTTGTTATAGCTAATACTTGGTGACAACAGACGCTAATTTATGAAGAGCATCACCAATTCCGCCGTATCTTTAAGCGTTCATATTCTAAAATCTGATGGGCATCAAGACCGAAGATGCAAAAGTCCACCTACAGTACCAGGCGTCGCATCCGATATCAGAATTCAGCATTTCCTCCAGCTGTATTCTGGTTTCGTCATAGCGAAGTCCACCCAGAGGATAGAGTAGCATTATGCCCTGTATACGTTGACCACCGCCGTGTCTTCAGGGAAGTGATCGACGACGAGATAATCTTCCACGTCCACCTTAGGTTCTGGCTGTGGTGCGGAGCGAGGGGAACTGGAAAACATCTTTTTCTGCGAAGCAGTCATAGTAGCAAGAACAGATCGCCGCCCAGAATCAGACCTGTACTTATCTGTAAGATGCGTGGTGTTACGCGCGTGCTTCAAAGTGCAGATCAGACCGCCTTAGATCGAGATGGCGCAGCGGGACAGATGCCCGACTACTATGAATAACTTGGTGGTCACCGGGGCTTCGGCTTGAAGCAGAATTAGGAACGTGTTGGTTTTTAGCCAGTAAGAGTCCCCCAGGTGGAAAAAGCATTGCATGATTTTTACCCCCAAAAAAATATAGGCGCCACACATCAAATTGATTTAGACATTTTCCGCAGAGATTTAGTTAATATCTGTTACGACACGCAGTTCGTCATAAAAAAAACTGTGATATCAATGCAAATAATGCGTTAGAACCTTATGTGTCGAAAACAGTTACTACTTCGAAAAGTACTACACATGAGACCGTTGTCCCCAATCAAGGACGGCATTTTTTTTAATACTTCTAAATATATTTTTTTATTTTTTTTTGCTGATGTTAGTTTGTGGGCGTCATATCATTGAGTTAATAAAGTTTTTTTTATTAAATTATGTGTAGTTTGCATTTGGTCCCAAATGGGTTAAAAACTTTTCCTTCGAATTTAGCAACTTATCTACTCAACTCGAATATGTAGAAACTTCTTAGAATAGGTACATAATCAACCTTTTTTGTTTCTTTTTTTTCTGTATCACAAATATTTATTTCTTTTATTTTTATTAAAACCTATTATCCGTGTACATAACTATTAATTTTCCTCATGTCATATAAATAATGTACTTGGCACAATGCTTCTAGTTTACAAACAAAATACCACATTATTGTAAACAACGATTTGTTTATGTAACGAAAACATGTAATAAAACAAAATATATGTACCTATCGATATTTGACATATCGACGACGCACAACACTACATTAAGATGAGGTAATATCGTAGTAACATTAAAAATCAGTGGATAATATCCAACCAGCTTTAACTTCATGCTCTGCTTGTGTCATAGATTGGTAACAACATTGGCATTATAAGCAACTAGCTCCACTCGCGAGTCTTCACCCGCTGCACTGCTGCTGCTGATCGTAGTATGATGTTTTATAAAATCTATAGCTCTCCACGATAAATGGTCTGTCCAACACATAAATTATTTGTTCAAATCGGACCGGTTGTTCCAGAGTGCCATTAGCGCGTTCAAACACACAGACAAACCTTTTGCTTTATCCTTATATCTTTTATTCTTCTGTGAGTGTGTATGTCACTGAACTTCTCTCAAACGACTGGGCTGATTTTTATGAAATTTTTTGTGTGTGTTCAAGGGGATTTGGGAATGGTTTAGATTCACAAATCAGCCCGGCAGATAGCACTGCAGTCGGTGTCCGGGTTAGTTAACGTAAACGGCTGAAATACTTTGAATGAATTTTTGTTTATACATTCAAGTGGATATGTAGGACAACGTCTGTCGTGTCCGCTAGTATAGGTATAAAAAATTAAAACTTTTTGAAAAATTACTATGTACCTATTATTAATAATTACTTCTTATACCTTCTTACTTAGGTTCAATTCTATGGAACTCGGTTCTCGGGAATTTGACGCGGGAAACAATCAAAACTTTCTCTTTTGCTTTTAGAGGATGCGGTCACACGTTCAATGTCATGCCTGCGTAACCGCCGCATACTCAGAGTCAGAGTCATTCCATGATTACTTAACACAGTCCTTAAGAAATTGTTTTCGGAACAAAACAGTTTTTAAGTACCTAATCATTAATTAATGTCTCTGAGTACGGCAGTTAGTTGGCTATGTTATGTTTTCATATTAGGTACTTAGGAAGTCGGAGGCCTTATTTCTAGAAATCTACATTAATACAATATCTAGTACCTTCTGACTTTTTTAGATTTAATAGAGCGGGAAACGGTTATAGACTGCCTCGTTGGCAGAGTGATCGAAAGTGCGACTGCCTTGCAAAAGTTCTCGGGTTCGATTCCCGGGTCAGGCAAAGTATTGCTGGGTTTTTGCAAAAAAAATATCCTCTGTCTTTTATACCACTGTACAATGTAACACCCACTTTTCACTATTTATGTTATGAGTCTTATGTAATAGGGGGTAAGCCTATTGCCATATACCGGGCACAATTCCAGACTCCGTGCTACCACTGAGATTTTTTTAAAAACCCAGTAATACTTTGCTCGACCCGGGAATCTAACCTGAGACCCCTTGCCCGGCAGTCACACTTGCGACCACTCGGCCAACGAGGCAGTCAATTTTTTATTCGTTACATTAATTTACACACGTCAATAACCTGTAAGTGCCCACTGCTGAGCAAAGGCCTCTTCTCGCACGGAGAAGGTTTGTGCATTGACTCCACGCTTGCTCAAGACGGGTTGATAATTTAGAAATTATACTTTCAGGTTTTCTTAATAATTTTACCTTTACTGTTCGTCAGAGGTGTCAAAGTAAATTTTAAAAGTACCTATATATAACTCAGAAAATGCCATATTAGTCATTGCCAGGTTTCGAACCTGAAAACAATTATTTTACTTGAGAAGCGGGTGCTTTAATCTCCAGCCAGACTACCACAACTGACTATAGTACCTACTTACATCAACGATGGTCTAATTACAACCAAAGGCAATATAGAATAACGATAAATCACTAAGAATTATTATAGCAAGCAACGGTAGCTATCAAAGTGCCTGTGGAATTAAACTTTATAGTTTTTTATTCCTACCAGTTTGAACCGTGACTAAACGCACAGGCGTTCGACTTTAAATTTGATATTTATTTTAGGTACCGTGCCTCTACACACGTTATCATAAACTCATAATTTACAATTTATTAATTCTAATGGCAATTAAAAAAAAACTAACTAAAAAATATGATTGAACTAATTAAAAAAACACCATCCGAATAATCGATGATCAACATAATGACACAAAGAAAATCGTAATAATACTCCGACTAATCGTCAATTGTTTTATTTATCACAAAAATATAAAGCTTTTTAAATGTTTACGATTCATAAAATATTGTTTGACATTTTACTAAACGCGACCATCGCCATTATTAGTTTTGCTATTGCACGCTAGATGGCGTTAGCCCGTCATTTTCGTTTACTACTTGTTCAAAAATGGATACTCAATCAAGGCTCAACCTAACTGAACTACAGTTTGCAATGTCGCTACTGTCTTCATGAAGGAATTCGATTATGAATAGTTCCAATTTTGACCGCCTGAACAAGTTAAGTTGGTATCTAGAAAATGTCTAGGCTATGTTTCCAGTTACTTCCTTTATTATTTTCATTGTTTTATGGAACAATGTAGTTGCAATATCCTTGTACCCTCCGTGTGATACTTATAATTTGTTTTCGAAGAAAAAATTGCAAAGCAAAAAATTGTTACTTACGCTCATTTTGAAAACACATTCAGACTTGGCTGTCGCAAAAAATTCTAGAAAGTGCTGTCTGAATTAGGTTACGTTTGTGCTTGTACTTAGGTATTATTGATTAATCACAACATATGGATAAAGATTGGAATGATACGGTTTATTTCCACAAAACAAATGCAAAAACAAGTTGAATGCAGTGTTGTTTGTGTTTATACACAGTTATATTATTTGCTTATGTAATCAGACGTAAATCGAGGACATACCTACTTACTTACCTAATTGAACAGATACAGTATTTCGAAATGTGGAGAATTGTGATGATTACGTAAACAATACCAACTTGTTTTCAACCATAAATTATTGTGAAAGTAAATCAAACAATTTTGACATTATATCGATCGATACATTGAGATTACCTATTGTTATGATAAAATCATCGGATTAACAAATAAAAATAAGCATGTTCATATTAGTAATTTATTATCGCTCACTGTTATTGACGCTTATCTATCCACGTAAGATACCGCAACTAACGTCATTTTCTGTCTTTAAGTTTCTCTTATTTGAGTCATATAGGAATTCTTATAACTGAAACATGATTCACATCATTGTGTGAAACCTGATTCTAAAATACTCAATCTAAATAAATAACACGCAGGTATTGTACCAACAAAACAAAATTATTCTTATAAGAACTTTTTAAATTTAACGTATTTCAAACCTGTCAGGCTTGTATTATCACCACAGTTTGTATTTTAGATGTAATAAAATGTATTTATAAACATACTAATGGGGCAGGTGATTATAAAATAAAATTAGACGCAGAACGTATGTTATCTTTATTCGAAGGTCAATATGAAATCGTCTATACCTACATTATTTAAATTATACAACATTGTTTACGGTTAGTGAAATAAACACTAATGACAAATTGAGTTATAACCTCAAAATGCAGAATTATTACCAGGTAGTTAATTAATTACAAGGCAGTTAATAAATAGATTGATAAATGAAGTTGTTATTTCAATTATTATTCCGGTTAAAATAAGAAGTATAACAAAATGGCATCAAAACAAAATCCTAGTCGTTGTTGTTTTATTACTTTCCATTGTTTCTAATCTGTTGTTGCTCTAACAATGATTCAAGTTAGTACCTACTCGAATACCGAAAAATAACAACCACGTGGATATTTTAACACTCAACGCCTACTTCAACGGAAACATGTGTGGGGCAATGCAAACTTATTTTTATGTTTATTATCCTCGAGGAAAACTATTTTAATTACTCATTGTATTTTGTTACAATATGAAATAATATGTTTTATGTACTTTACCCTCACAAATTGTTTATAAAATAAATATCAGGTGGAACATAAGGCAGAGGTATAAAAAATGTGGCTACTGAAGCAACGGTCGCACTATTTAGGAGTCAATGACTTCACGTGGCAGTCATTTTGTTACTCTGGTAATTACTGCCGTGGTACACAAATACACCTTAAAATCTTCAGAATCATTGAAACTTTGTAGCGCACAATCTCTAATTTATAAGGTTTTAATAACAATAACACAATTAAAGTGAAAAGATATGAATGTTGTTATACATTCATCATTATATATACAGACTTTAAAACGGTCATAACAATACCTACGTATCATAATAAAGAATCGGCGTGATCGTTGTCTGGAAAAAACCGAGGGCAACGTCCGTTTTTAGTTTTGTTTCACCCAAACACATGAGACATGTTGAGATATTATTACATGTAGACGTACCTACACAACATACGCTGCTTAACTAAAAACTATTATTATATTTGCTGCTGCTTTTTTGACATTATGTTAAAATTAATTTGTGCTTAACATTTTTTTAGTGCTTAATATTGTAGGTTATAGCATGTTTCGTGGCACCTTAGATCCGCTATAATTGTAGTTTGTTCCGTAGAATCTTAAATCTAGTTCAAATTAACCGCCCTCATTCGAAAACCACCCATTCATATAAAAACCAGGTCATTCCTAACTAACTATCTGTTTGTAATGTCATCACACACACACCCACGTACTTTATATTGTGACTAAAATATTTGTTAAGCAATCATTATCTGATTTTGTACTCATATTCGCTGTTTATACAATCATCCGTTCGTTACAGTATCAGTCTTATTCATTATCATCATAGGTAGTATCTAGTCGTACACTCAGTATCGAGCGTTGTAGCTGCGACCTACCTGTCTTCTTTATTAAAGTATTTCATGATTCAGCAAGCCAGTCGGCCGACTAGCTAAACCACTAACACACAGATAAAACCGTTCACCGTACAGGCATATCGAGTCTGTCCTGTGTTTATTTACGTCCATCGTATTGTTTGTATACAGCCCGGCACGACTGCGCATCAGACTACGTCATCCCTTCCCCCGCCTCAGGTGCCCGCGGAGGCCCGTCTTTCCTACGCTGGGGTCGAGCTGCCTCACTCGCTCATTCATTCGGCATTCGGCATTCGCAAACGTTGTTACTCACCGCCTACCGTACCGGTGAGATCTCTAGTCTCTTATTTAATCAGTCTTCAGTTTGCAACCGTTTTATCCTTCCTTCACTATGTTGAAAGAGAAGTCAAGATACGAAAATCGTCATTCTTCTGAAGAGCAGAATCGTCCGTTGACCTCAAGCAGGTTACCTGCTATTGAGGAACTCACCCTTGGCCTGAAACAGAAACTTCACCTGCAGGCCAGAGCCCGAGCTGCACCTTACTATATTAGAAAACAAGAACCTGTCGATCTTGTGGAACGATTGCTGGAGCAGCGTGCCCTTGTCGCCGAGGCTGTTCGGAGATTACAGGAAAAGAAGCAACCGTGTCATGAAATTTCTGTAGATTCATAATTTATAAACAAAACATTTTAGTTGTGAAAGTGTCGAACGTGTTGTGAAATCGCTTGTGTGTAAGAAACGTGTCGGGTTACAATGGTGCTATATGCGGAGAGCGTGCAAGAAAGAGATAGCCACCAATGACGTGTCCCGCACGACACGAGTCACGAGAACGAACCAAAATGGCCGCGCGTACTCTACAATCATAATATTTATTCTTCGTTTATAGTGACCTTAACTGATCATGATCAAAGTACTGAATGACGTAACTAGCCTTTAGTATTGTAATTCGTTTTAAAGTACTTATTTCTATAATAATTAAAACTTTGTGACTGAATGTCGCGTTAAGACATTTCCATCTAATTAAATATAGCTAATGTGAAGTATAATTCAAGAGCTTTAACTATTGTTTATGTAATTAATTTAAATATTCGATAGCAAATGTCCATTGTCTCTCATACCTACTTCATGTTTCTACAACTTAAGTGAATTGCTTTATTATTTTTGTATAACCATTTTACAATGAGCGACACACTTATCTCGACTACATTACATCAGACATTTTGTTATAAATATTTTCTTCCAGCGAAATATGTAATGTACACATTTATTTAGGCCATTTTAGTGTTATGAAAACTTTCAAAAAGTGATTGTAGAGATAACAGTACATTTTTTACATTGTTACAATTACAGTTACTTCCTCGCATGATGGTAGTTTAGGGAAAATTATTCATGTCACACTGTGCGATTTTAAATAGTAGGTATGTTCTCATTGTAACAGTCAAAGTGCAACCTAGAAAATTTGTAGTGTTTAGTTTTATAAAATTCCTATTTAGCTAATACTTAATTTCAACATTGTAGTGTGCAATTGTACCGAATATTAAGGTATAAAAAATGGTAATATTACATGTGTGCATGTTTTAGTGCATTTTGTGATTTTTAGGTAGTTTAATTTATCGTCGATCTTGTGATTTAGATAAGTATTAAGTAATAAAAGAATTAATTTCAAGAAATACTTTTTTTGAATTGAGTTCTTGAATTTAGCTGTACAAAATATTTAAATAGATTTCTACAGATACTTTCAGTGTTAGATCTATTTTTCGTCTATTAAAATATTTGATGATTACAATACATTATTTTATTTAAACAACCTTACTCTGCTACCTTTCTTGTCTATACCTACATACCTACCTATTATGCTTATTACTATTATCACACCACTTGATATTTACATAATATACCTATTTAAAATATTTTATTTCCTCATTTTCGTTAATTACAATACTGATACATAATCTACACGTTTTTTCGTCAGGTTTGTTAATAGTCCCAATTATGAGATACCAAATTGATCTATTAGGTAGAATGTTTAACAATAAGAATCTAAAACTACCTATAGATAAACGTTAATTTATTAATTTAATACAGAGATTCCATATAAATTAGACCCTATTCTTAATTTGATTTTGTTTACAACGACAAGAATATAATAATCTGATAACTCATTGTTTATTTTGTGGTATCAGCTGATAACTTGTTTTGTCAAAGTAGCGACATCTATTAGCAAATAGAAAAAGTAGTTGATTTATTGGTTACACAAATTTATTTTGGTATTTGGTTACACTATTTTACTGGGAAATTCTCAAAGTTAATCTTTTATTTATTATCCATGACGTAGAGAATATTAAGTCATTACGTAATTCTTAAATTACTGAAATTGTTTTATGACATTGAGATTTATATCCCTTATACTGCCATCTAGTAGTGAGGAGCGAGATACATAGAAGATGATAACCACGGAAACAAGGTGACAGTTGACAGCAGACTGTTATGTCAAAATGACAGGTTCATGTTTACCAATTTGATTTTCTTTGAACATAAATAAAGTTCCGTACACACACGCATTTCTCATTGTTTTTCTTTAATCGGTAAGTGGGACTACTAATTTATTAAATAATTTTTATAGGTTTATTACTGAAAATTAAACTTCTACATTTTTTCAATGAATATTCTGTATACTTGTTAGACAGACTTAATGTTTATGAAATTCTGAATAGCTATTTGGTATTCATAAATTCACTACGGTACTCTAAAATAAGAATTATGTTATGTATTACTAAAATGTAAATATTTAGTTGAAATCTTCAAAATAGTGATCCCTTCACCTTATAAATGTTAAGAAGTAGATGTTTTATAAATATATTCAGTAGAAAATGTTTACAAGTCAAATTATTACAGAAACGGTATAATAATGTTCTAGTGCGACGCAATCTGTATCAAATACAAAGTTTTCGCTTATCATCGGTTTTATACCAGCTGGCAACAAAGTGTAGGTTCAGTATCAATTCGTCAGTGAAGATGGCAACGTCGTGGTCCATGGGCCCAGGTACTCTGGAAGTGCCTTTATCCTTATTTGCTAAGAACAGGAGTCGGCTGGCAGACAAATTAAAAAGTGGGCAAGTAGTTGTCCTACAAGGCGGCGACGACATTAGCCATTACGACACCGACATTGAATATGTGTTTAGACAGGCAAGTATATCAACATAACATAAATACACACAATTCTGTGGCATGATTCAACATTTTATCAAGTTTTAATCACAACCAACAAGTAATTCTAACTAATTAAATGAAAGATCTATTAATTCTATTGTTGCTTCTCATAATTAGACGAAAACATCATTATAATTAATAAACAGCTAATTAAATTACACTGCTTATAATTGATATATTGAAACCTGATTAGTCACCAAACAGAATGAAATATTATTGTTAAGTAGTATTTTTATTTAGAAAAGTGGCTTTTTCAAAATCATGCATATATCAAATTATAATTTATTTAGTTATTATACAACAGATATAAGATATAGTAATTATATCTTCTAGGAATCCTACTTTACCTGGGTCTGTGGTGTCCGTGAGCCTGGCTGCTACTTTGCTCTAGATGTAGCCACGAGGAAAGCACATTTATTTGTGCGCCGTCTACCTGAAGACTATGAAATCTGGATGGGAAAGTTACTCAGCTGTGATGACTTCAAGAACATTTATGCAGTTGATGAAGTTCACTATGTTGATGAGGTAATTTCTCTTTATTACAAACTGCTTCTAACTCTCTTTGCTTATTAATCTGATTTCTGTTATTAAAGGCCTATGTGTATCCTATATGCTATTATTTCATCAATGCGCAATTTTATATTATTATAATGTGAAAAAGATCATTCATTCATTAGTATTATGCATATAATATAATGTAATATATAATGTATATATAATGTAATAAATATTATTCTCCATTTTCAGCTCCAGACTGTGCTCAAAAGCTTAAACCCTGAGACATTATTGACTTTGGTAAGTTTTGCAATATTTAAGTTATCATACCTAGATATAAATATGGAGTATTATACATTAAACATAATATTATTTTACAGTGTGGTCCCAATACAGACAGTGGCTTGACCGCCAAGGAGGCTGTGTTTGAGGGAATTGATGAGTAAGTATCTGATTGTGTTCAATCAAATCTGTTGCTGTTGACATACTTAATATGAAGCACAGTACTTGCGTTGAGTACTTAAGAATGATAACTAAGTATTGGCTATTAAATAATACTTTGCTAATAAATACTCAATACTTTACTAAAATCCGAATTGGGGAGCCAATGGTTGAGGGATTCCCAAAACTGGGAAGTATGACTGAAAATTAGAGAAAACCTAGATAATGATAATAACTTTTTTAAAATAGAGACGTTAAATTAATTAGGCCGGCTCCAATGAACTAACCAATCAAGAGCGCCGAACGCGGTCTTGTTTCGATTTCTTTAAATATAAAACATGTCACGTGTAACATGGTTATGAGCCCCAAGTGTGACTTGAAACTAGTTGAGTCTCCCCGTCAACCAATAACGTGAGTGAGCAGTAAAACATACAAACCAATTTTTTTTTTTTCAGATTCAATGTCGACAATGAAACACTTTTCCCTATCATTGCCGAGCTGTAAGTATCTGTATTAATCTGTAATAACAAAACGATAAAACATGAAATTGCTCAATAATCTAAATACCAATATCTTAACTGCTTATGTAAATGCAGCTATCAATCTTATCTTTTGATTGTTTTTTCTTTTATTACTAGACAATTGGACATGTGTTATAGGCTTTAATTGGAAGCTTGGCTTGAAGTAGACATGATTTAATAGTCCATTGTTAGCCTGTTAGGTACATACATGTGACTTGTTAAGATCACAACGTGATGAGTTTTTATTTAGCAAAAGATGTATCAAATTAAGTACCTATACCTAATGAAGATGTCGCGGAGAACCTAACGGGTTCCCGGGGCTCCGGCTCGATGTGCAGGAGCAGGAACGGGGTGGTTTTTAGTCAGTAAGAATCTGACACTCCCTCCCGCCTCACCCAGGCGGGAGCAGTCTTTCGATGATTTTCCCCCCTTAGAAAAAAAAGGCAATACCTATTTAAAAACGTGTCATTGGTTTATAAAAGAGTAACCAAAGTATAATGGAGATTATAATGTTTCATTTCTATATATCTAACAATGTAGCCGTGATGCCCCTGTGCATTGGAAGTGTAAAGATGGTCTGCTTTACCGTCAGACGAGCGGCCCATTTCGTTGCTAGTTGCTACTGATACATGTTTATACCTAGAAAAATAATAAAAATGTCTGATTATATTAAATGCCTTACTCAATGTTACATATCAAATTAATATTATCACTATCTACTTGCGCATTTATCAGTTATCACATATCTTTAATGATTGCATTCTTTACATATTTAATTAGGTCTAGAAAGTACAAACATATATGTATAACATGCTATAGCGTTATTTTCTAGGTCATGTAAATAAGATTTAATTTTAATTAACCACACAAGTTACCTACCTATTTAGAATTCCTTACTTATCATTTTGGTAGCAGTAGCTATTGACACTATTAATTTATTACCTTTTACAGGCGCGTTCTCAAGACCCCTGAGGAGATTGAAGTACTGCGTTATGTGTGCAAAGTCTCGTCTGATGCTCATAAACAGGTACTTAACTTTATTTTATTTTATAGATGGCCTAGTAAGGCACATAGGGTTCTTATTCAGGAACTCGACTCAGGAAGGATTTCAAATGGCAATAGTCTTACATTGCTGCTATATATCAGCTTGCCCCAAATGTTTGTTAATTAAAGTGCCTACTAAAATTCCCCTCATTCTCTATAGTATGCTAGCTCCCTGATGCCAGCTTCATTCTAGTTGCTCCCTACTTCACGTTCGAGTTTTAAAGATAATGTTAAGTATATCATCTTTTCGCAGGTGATGTTATACGCGAAACCAGGTAGAAAAGAGTATCAATGTGAGTCAGTGTTCCTGGACCATTGTTACCGCGTGGGCGGGTGTCGTCACGTGTCCTATACTTGTATCTGTGGCTCCGGACACAATGGCGCCACTCTACACTATGGACACGCTTCCGCACCAAATTCTAAGCTCATTCACGACGGTGATATGTGGTAAGTTACCTTTTAAGTATAGAATAAACTTAATTTTAATCTCTTGCTTGATACTATAGTTAAGTAAATTGTTATAACGCTAAATAAATGATTGGAAAATGTTTACACACTCGCCCAATCCAAATTATCATTATGTGAGCCCCAGTCATTCCCCTCTTCCCATCCTAAAATCCTCGATCTCCAATTTCTTAAGCCCCAAAAGGCCGACAACATACTTTAACTTCTCTAATGTAGCGAGCTCCATAGGTGACTCCAATTGCTTACCATTAGGTGATCTGTCTGCCCATTTACCACCCTATCCAATAAAGAAAATTCACATTCATTTATTCTTCCAGTTTGTTCGACATGGGCGGGAACTACGCTGGCTACGCCGCTGACATCACTTGCTCATTCCCTGCGAATGGCAAGTTCACAGAAGACCAGAAGCTTATCTATGAAGCTGTGCTCGCTGGAAGAGATGCTGTCATTAGGTAATTAGTTATTTTGTTGTTGTTTATACTTAGAACCTATTTATTATGTAAAAACTAATAATCTATTGAAAACAACTTGTTTCGGAAAATAATTACTTAAATAATAAAATACGAAAATTTTAGTGACCTCGAACCGCCTGCCTAGTGTGGGTTATACCTATAGCCTTTTTTGTTCAATAGTGAACATAGTTTTGTAATAAAGTTGAGAATCGTAAAGTATGAATAAATACTTCATTTTCTCAGGGAAGCTAAACCAGGCGTGCTGTGGACTGACATGCACCTAGCAGCCAACAGAGCTATGCTGGAACATTTGAAGAAAGGGGGCTTGCTTCAAGGCGATATTGAAGACATGATTGCTGTAAGGGAATCTCTTAACTTATTCCTAGATTATAAGGCACATTGTTAAATTGTAATGTATGACTATTATAGGTAGATGGTATCTAATATCTACAAATGTGTACTTTACAAGATATTAGAAAACCTAGTTCTTCCTGTCAATATACCCACAACTAAATTATTGGACACTTGTACATCTGAATGACAATAGACTTAAACTTGGTGTAAAATAACATAGTATAGTAATAATATAGTGTAGTAGTCGTTTCCTGACAAGTAAAATACACAATTTTAACACTCCAAACATTATGCTTTTTAAATGACGTACAAAACTCATGGTTCTTATATTTTTATAGTAATACGTATGTTAATATTTTGCTTTTATCTTTTCCAGAATGGAATCCATGGCATTCTGCAGCCTCATGGTCTAGGCCACTTACTGGGACTGGACGTCCACGACGTGGGCGGGTACCTGCCTCACTGTCCCCCTCGACCGTCAGGCCCACTCGCCCGTTTGCGAACCGCGCGCCCTCTACTCGCAAATATGACGCTCACTATCGAACCTGGCTGTTATTTTATACCCAGAGTAAGTTTATAATCACTAATATGAATATTCTAACCAAAAGTACGAACTGAACTTCTGACTGATATACAAGGTGTAGGTTTGAAGCCGTGTCATTTCTCGGGGGCTTGTCACAGAAGTCATAAAGGTTCAATGTAAGAGAAAGTTTCGGGCCAATAGTTAGTAATTACGGCTATAATAAATCGCAGTATTTCAGAATAAGCGACAGCAATGTTTCTTATTAGAGTTTTATGGAATTAGGAATAATATCAATACGTGTTAGAGTTTGTGTGTGTTAAGCCGCGTTATGAAGCTATTTACAAGACGGCGGCGTCTACTTCGATCTTACAATTTTTTTATTGATTCCGACTCAGAATCGATAGCCGAGTTACTAGAAAATGACGCGGCTTTAAAACAACACCTTGTATATGTTCAATCTCCAGGTTTGATTTGATAAATGTTCTATTGGCAATAGTTAAACCCTGTTCTAAGAAAAGCAAATGTATCCTAATATTTGTTACGCAATCATGTCAAAATGACTGAAGACGAGATGAAATTTAAGGGTAGATCATGTCTGAAATGACACAGACTTTTTATTCTACGGGAGCGCCGGCGAAACCGGTGATGAATAAATTTCTCTTCTAGCTTCTAGACGGTGCTAAGAACAACCCAGCACAAGCAAAATTCTTTAACTGGGGGAAATTGGACAAGTTCCGCGGTTTCGGTGGCGTGCGCATTGAAGACGATGTGCTCATTACTGAATCCGGGGTCGAGAACCTCACCTTTGTGCCAAGGACGTAAGTTTACTGAATTACATCATATTTTATGGAATAGAATGTAAATATAATTTGTGTTGCCATAGTTACTGATCGAAGAAGGCTATCGATTTTAAGTAATCGTGAGACGACTTGCTATTATATAACTTGAAGGAATAATTATATTTTTATTTTCTTCGTCTAAATATTGAATCATGGCGTCGTATTGTATAGTATTTAAAGTACCTAAATATAATATAAATATTTTATTGTTTTCTTGCAGTGTCGCCGAAATTGAAGAACACATGGCTAACGGAGCTAACTTTAAAAGTTCATAAACATAACCAGTAATCATTACCCGCGTTTTGTATTCCTTTTTGTATAGTATTAATATATAGTAGAAACTTTTATATCTATGTATAATCGCATAATATCGTGTATATTTACATAAGAATAAAGACATTTTAATACAAAGAAATCGTTTTATTGATCATAAAACTGAGTAAAGCTTACAAGCTGATTTTATTATGCAAAATAATATCTTTTTCAATTAATATCATTTTATTAGTGATGTCATTCACAATATCTAATGTAGTTTTTCATTACCTTAGGAAGAGGCAAGCTATCTAATATCGAAAAGAACTGTTGTGTTGATGTAATTCCTCCTTCAATATTTCTGATTGTTTCCCTGATTTTAAGTCTTGATATATGTTTCAATGAGTATATATGAAATGGAAGAGCCTGCACTTTTAACACTGTCTTCTTTTTGTTTATCATATGTAAGAGCTCCTTTCGTACCTGTAAATACACAATTTAATATATAATTATTATAATGAGTATTTGATTTCTTAAATTCTCTACCAATGGTATTTACCTAGTCTGTATAGGGGAGGGACAGCTAGTATATTATATTCATGGATTTATCCCAGATACAGTGTGCATCCTTATTTCATTTGATACACATCCTTATTTCAAGCACAAAAGTATGCTTCAATTGAGTACTGGTAACTTGCTACATAATAGCATGTATGGGAATATTACTCAAAATTAGCATGCTCATCTCGGGCATGCTTGCGAATCGACAGGCATGCTATTTCTGAGCATTCTACCTACAGTGCGGGTAGAAGAGAGTGTGCTTTAAGCGTCTCTAAAAGAGTTATACTTAAAACTAGCATGGCTATTGATGGCAAATGTGAACTGCTCATAAGCATGTTCGTATTGAGCATGAACTGAGTATGTCTAAACAAATTCATCATTACACCAAAGTACTTACTTGTGGTGGTATTAAACTCAATTCCCCTTTCAACCGTACCTGTTCTAGTATATCTGCAGGCTCACAAATAATACTGTATTTCAGTAACATGGGTAATGTAAGTGGAAGGAAAGTCAGTGATGTGTAAAATGCATCAGGATAGCGGTAGTTTGTTGACCATCCTAATGTACTGTTGTAATCCACGTTACATCCCTGCTCCACTAGTATTGTGAAAACCTGAAATACATAAGAAATTGTTAATTAGTATATTTAAATATATGTATAATTTTAATATTTATTTTTGTCTAGCATCTTTTCCATAATTATGAATTCCTTCATAATCAAGCAATTAGAGGTCTTGTGTTTCAATGTCTCAATATTATTATTATTATTATTTTATTATTATTTTTTTTTATTAAATTTTTTCTGGATTTTCAATACAAAAGCGCTCTTATCCAGTTTAGCATTGTACCCAGTGTTGCTGTTACCCCAATAAATTCTTTGTCTGTTAAATGGGATTTATAACAATACTGTTGAAATGAGGTTGTATGTCCTATGTACAAGAAAGAGGCTACTCATTGAAAAAGTTGACATGATGTGTTATTCACAATGGACTTACTTCACGGAAGCTTGATGTAGTTACAAGATGTGCATGCACTAATGGCGGACACACACTAACGTCGGGAGCATTAACATCCATTCCTTTCATCAATAACAAATAGAAGAACTTTCGAAACTTGTTCGGATACTTCTTATAAATGTATTCACATATATTCAGATATGCGTTTAATGGAGCATGTGTCTTATAAATAGACTTTTGCTTATTATAAATATCTAATTTTTGGTCATATGGCTCATAATAACAATAGAATTCTGGACCTAAATCACTGGTCAATAAAGTTTCTAATATTTCACAGTTAAATATATGTGGTTTACAAGCATTGTATATTATTTTCCTGTTTAGCACACATTTATCTGTTATAGACAGTAATAATTTGAACACTTTTGGACTTGTTGCAATGTTCAAAGCAATGTCTACAGCCCTTTCTTCATTCTTGTTCTCTATGAGAGGATCCGCTCCATGCTCCAATAAAAAATAAACAACATCATCATTCAATCCTTGAACAGACAATGTTAATGGTGAATCTCCTGAAGAAGTCTGTTGGTTTATATTACTCATAAATGGAAATAGTGTTTTTATTGCAGGGAAATTTCCTCTGCAGCAAGCTAAATGGAATGGTGTGTAACCACCTGAATCATTCTGTATCTGTGGATCAGCCCCAGCATACACCAGAGTAAGCACTGCTTCATTCTGCATGGCTAGAACTGCATCATGTAAGGGAGTGTCTCCATCAAAGTCTTGCACATCCATAATAGCCCCATATTCTATTAATAATTCTATTAACTCCACATTTCCTTGACTACTGGCTATGTGTAGAGGTGTCACTCCCTCTGTGCTGCCATAATTTGCAATATCATGTACAGAGTTTAATATTGCTTTGACAGTCTTCAGTGAACAATTATTTTTACAAGCCAAGTAGAGTGCAGTGTGACCCTCATGAGTCTCAGCAGAGCGTCTACATCGAGGATTCTTTAAAATAAGTAAAAGGCTGTCATAGCTGTCATGATAAGCCGCTTCGTGAAGGCATGTCCACCCTCTGTTATCTACGCAGTTCGGATTTATTTTCTGTAGTAGACGCTCAACATTTTTAACATCATTGATTCTAGCAGCCAAGTTTAAGGCATTTGATGTCGCTGGATTTAGTGAGCTGAAGTCCATGTCAGCTCTACGAATACTCACAGAACTAATAACTTAGCACAAATTATTTATAGTCGTATTTTTAATTAGACGAAGTCAACTGACAATGGCTAATGTCAAATTGTAAAATAATGTGGCCATATTTAAAGTAATAGTGATGGCTACAGTTCTCGTTCAATCAAATGAATGAACAATGAATGTGAATAGTTCATAATTTTAATCATTCCAAAACATAAATGAATATTATTTCTATTTCTAATAAAATTGTATCAATATTTGATAGTTTATTGTAAAGCGCGGCGCGGCGAGTACTGACAACACCGATCGACGTCGCGCGCGTCGGTCGCCATTTTGATTGTTATTCGGCTTCTAACCTCTGGTCTGAAAGCACGTACTTTGTTATTTCTGCGCTCACGTTGTTTTGTTAAGTTTTTTGTTTCGTTGTGTTTGCGGTTATTGTGGTTCATTGTTTCCTTTAAACAATATGGATCCTCAACCAAGCACGTCAAGTCAAAGCTTGTCTCCGAGAAGGAAGAGACCACGGGTTTCGTTAAGCGTTACCGAAAAGCTCATGGTACAGAACGTGTATAAACACGTATTTGAGGAGAAAGCTGCTTCTCTATTACCTTTTGAAACCCCCGAAAAACAGGAATGTGTTTCGAAAACAGCTGACATTTTGGGAATTGGTGTGACCTCGGTTTACAGTGTATTAAAAGAATACAAAGAAAATGAACAATTTAAATCACCCGAGAAACGTGGACCGAAATACAATTTCAAAGACAAATTAGATGATTTTACTTTTACTGCCATAAGGCGAAAAGTTCATCAGTTTTTTTATGCAAATGAGCCACCCACCATTGCAAAGGTAACATAAACTTTATTCCGTCTACTGCATTATATTCTGTGTCCACCATAATGTTCTTTGTAAAACCAAAGTATTAGATTGCATAGATTTCCTTACTCAAAAACATTTTTATTACTTTACAGATCCTTAAAGTTGTCAATGAAGACCCAGATTTACCGACTTTTTCATGGAGTACACTAAGAAATGTTATGAAACATTTGAATTTCAAATACGTTTCAAAGACAAGAAAAAGCATTCTTATTGACAGACAGGATATTATTCTATGGCGCCAGCGATACCTTCGAGAAATAAAACAGTATAGAAGAGAAGGAAGGTATATTTATTACCAAGATGAGACCTGGATCAACGAAGGTAATTACAATTTTGTTTTCTTCATTTTAAATTTTACTTTCTGTAGGTTTTGTGGCCACAGATAAAAGTTCTTACAATTCGTTACCGACGCTGTATTTAACACAGATTACATGCGTTTCTTATAAGACTGTAAATTCTGATTGTGTGACAATAATATAAATTAGGAATAATTACAAACAAACATGACAAACCACTTAGATAAACGTGTACATACATTTACAGGCATGTGTTTAGAAGGTCCCTCTACTTTCAATAATTAATTGATATTTTTCTCTATTTTTAAGGTCATGCCCCGAAGAAGGTATGGATTGACCAAACAGTGCTAACCTCCCGCCAGGCCTTCCTCGATGGCTTGACCACTGGCTTAAAACAACCTTCAGGAAAGGGCAAACGCTTAATTATCGGACATATAGGCGGGGAAGAAGGGTTCGTAGAAGACAGCCTATTAATATTTGAAGCCACAAAAACAAAGAAGATTATCATCAAGAGATGAATGCCGATTCCTTCGAAAAGTGGTTCAGAGAGGTCTTGCCAAAACTCAAACCAAATTCCGTGGTAGTGATGGATAATGCCCCGTACCACTCCAGGAAACTGGAATCGCTGCCTACAATGTCTTGGACTAAATCCAGAATACAAGAGTGGCTAACAAGCAAAAATATCGCATTCGAAGCAACAATGATCAAAGCTACTCTTATAGACATTGTACGACAGCACAAACACCAACATTCTGAAAAGTTTGTTGTGGACGAGATGGCAGCACACCATGGAATTACGGTTTTACGTCTGCCCCCATACCACTGTGAGCTTAACCCTATTGAGTTGGTATGGGCGCAGGCCAAAGGACATGTGGCAAGAAATAACAAAACTTTTAAAATGCCAGAAGTTAAAAAACTGTTTGAAGAAGGACTTCAACTCATCACAGCAGAAAAATGGAGTAGTTGCGTGTCTCACGTTATTAAAGAAGAAGACAAAATGTATGGCCTTGACCACATGATTGACAATGTGTCAGACAACTTTATTATTAATGTCACCGAAAGTGATAGCGATGATTTTTTATCTGATGATGATTAAAATCAAATGATGTTATTAGCGTTGTTTTTATTATCCATAACTACCTAATTTTTTTATATTTTACTCATCTGTAGTTTCAACTACTTCAATTAATTCACTAGACGATCGAGACAATTTCATTCATTTAGTTGCTTTTTCAATCATTCACTTTTTCGCAACACTATTTTTATTTCATCAAAAACTGACAACACAGCAAACGTCAGTCGACTTCGTCTAATTAAAAATACGACTGTGCATTTATTCAATGAACAAAAACAAATACTTTTTTGATTTCAATAATAAAATTACACTCGATTGATAACAATAGTAAAAATTACGTATTGTGCATTGGAAGTGGAGATCTTAAACCCAAATAGAAAATAAATGTAACTAAAAATCAACTTTTTACACTGCTTTCACACGGTATTTTTATTACGAGTATTACGATTACGACTGAGGGAGAAGACGCTTTACGCATGCGCCATGCACAACACAAACACAAGATTTGTTCAGTTCAGATTTGTTTGATATTTTGTTCAACCCATAAACTTATTAAACTCTTTGTTTTGTTCTTTGTTCCGATCCAACCATAGATGTAAAGATGATCTATTTTCCATCTATGGTTCTAAGTTTCCAAGTTGCGTGGCCGCCTAAAGGAGGCCATACACGCTAGGTTCTCATTATCGTTGTTTCAAGATGTCTATGTCTGCCTTTGTTCAACGTGCTTGGCTACATAGGTACCTACTTTAGATTATGCTTTACTTATTTTTAATTTTACGAACAGGAGTTACAGTAATAATTAAGTATTATGCGCTCTGCCCATCCCGTGAGGGAACAATTGTTGTAATACTATTTTAGTCACGGAAAAAAATGCCTTTTTGTTCTTAGATAAAAGGACTACTATGAAATAATAATTAACACGTATATAAATAAATTATAATTTAATTAATTCAATAAAAGCATTGCAACTTCTGAGTCATACAAAAATTGTACAAATATTATCACATAATAATTTTAATATCAACCTAACTACTTACATAATATTCACCGAAATATACTATGGCTGCGAAAATGCAAACGATGCACCGTTGTCTGGTTTGTGAGCCGTTACATCTTATGTACAAATTTCAGAATAGTTAGAAAGGTAATCATTTAGTCTAAAATACAATAGATAAATTACATATACTTGTAATAAAGAGAAACATTAATTAGGCCATAATGCAATCCCACAATTTTTTCATTCGTAATTATTTATTAATTACTTTCTTCCGTGGATACCTACGGATAGTCTACCTATCCTATCCGAAAATGGGATTCAAATAAATACTCATTATGTTCAATAAAAAATATAAAACCATTTCGTATTTTTTACAAATTTCCGTTTTAAGTCACCGTAAACATGGAATGCGCCTGCGATTCTACAACGACTCAACGACTTGCTAAGTGAAAAAATACAGGAAACTTTATTGTCAATTGTAGATTTCTACAATAAGAACTAATAATATTTGCAATCAAATCACAATCAATAATGATGAACTATAAATTAAAATCTTGAGATGACGCACGACTTGAGACACATGTCGTAAACTCAATATTTCTCGTTAACCATTTACTATCAATCATACCATTTATCATCATCAGTCTATTCTTGAGAATATTGTCTTCCCTGATAATTACTTAATTTAGTACTCCATTAGGAAATTTTAGAGGCGACATAGGTTTTACTCGCGGTAAGGAGTTTGATCGAGGAGATCGGGGAGAAAGGGGAGATCTTGAACACCGCGCAGCTGGATATGGCCTAGGCCTAAGTTCTTCCGCACTTCGAAATGTGTTCCGAGCTACCCGTCGCCGATAAAGTGACGTTACTGTCGATTCTTGCAGCAAACATCTGAAAAAATAGCGTAGTGGTTCTTTAAAATTTATCAACTACAAAGATTTATAGACAAACCTACACATGTCATTATCTCACCATATTAGAGTAATGCATGCCTTTATAATATTTTACTTTACTTTGCTTGTAGATAAAAAAGATTTTGTGAAAGATTATATTATTTTAATTAATGGCCCACTTTTCTAATTCTGACAGTTGTTGCTTAGGGGTTGAGGCAGCAACGGGACGAGCACGTCCTAATTTTGCGCGCGTTGACTGTAGCATTTGTTGAGTCACTAACGGCTGCTGACCTTGTTTCGGACCAGGTTTTGCCCGCACTGGATTATCCTAGAACAATTAACAATAATATTTCTTTACGTATTTATTATATTAATTTACTGCGGAGTGGAGTCACAGTGAGACTGGAGTAAACGGGGCGAAAGGCGTAGTGTTATTTTTTGCGTGCAACTTTAACTTAGTTTTCAGGTTAAGCCTGAGGAGTTAGTGTCCGGGTGACAATTGCAGTTCTAACTAGATCTCCAGCCAATCAGATGCTGGAATAAGCAGTTTTAGAATTCCATTGACCTGTGTAACGTACCTTTGTCTTCCTCAGTTTGACATTAGCGATGTCTTGAGGTGTAATAGCGAGGCGTTGTCCAACTATTCTAGGTGGTGCAGAACCGCACCTGGGTATGGTATGAGACCGGACAGGTAATTTGGAGACAGGGGCAGGTGGAGGCGGCGGCGGTGGTGGCGGTGGTGGTGGAGGCGGCGGCGGTGGCGGGGGAAGGTGCTTTTTCGGTGTACTTTCATGTTTCCTAAAAAACACAATCTAGTAGATACCTCATATTTGTTTTGCAACTAAATATTGCAGTTGCGTGCAGGTTAAGCACGGGCTCACGGGTTGGTTTTCCAAATTAAGCAAGCTATTTAATTTTTTTTAATTAATTTAAGTTGGTATTATTGGTTCTCGAATTTCTCCAGTGCTAAAAGGTACGTAGTTTTGATTTATGTACAGACAGTGGTAACCGGATCACCCTGCACCAATCTGTCAAATTTATTACATTATTTAGACTAAAGTTGAAGGTGTAAGTAATAGAGAAAATTGACAGAAAAGGACATTTATATAAGATCAAGGAAGTTTTACCTGAGCTTACCCTCGAGTTGTTCAATTTTGTTCATCATTATTTTCATTCCTTCTTTTAACGTCTCGTTTTCTTGGGCCAACCGCTCTTGCTTTTTATCTACCTCTTCTAAAAACTTCCTTAACTCCCGCAACTCTTCGGTACTATCAGTAGTTTCCTGGTGAACTATCGGCTCGCGCAGTATATCGGAGTACAGACCAGTGATTGATTGATAGCCCTGAAATAGAACAAAGAAGAAACTGAGCTATAAATGGGCAAACTCTCACTGTAATCTACACCTAGAACACTCTGTAGAGGTATCACAAGTACGTTGCTGACCGTACTGGCAACTGTTTATATTTTTTTTATTCTTTATTTTCACACAACCATACCAACAGCTAAGAATGTAAAACATCACATTCTTAAACTTAACTTTTAAACTTAAAACGCTTGGAGGGATGAGTTAAGTAACTATTCAACATTTTGTCAAACTAATAGACCGCACGATTGGTGTTGTGGCTAGGCAACCGGCTGTCATGCAACGTGTCGCGGGTTCGATTCCCGCACGGAACAACATTTTGTGATCCACGAATTGTTGTTTCGGGTCTGGGTGTCATTGTGTATGTATGTTTGTAAACACACCCACGACACAGGAGAAAAACCTAATGTGGGGCAACGTTTTAAAAAAATTAGACAAGTAACGGGAGTGAAAACGCTCGATGATAGCAAGGTTACTAAGTTTTTAATTAGTAAGTACCTATTACTGTAATAATCTTAGTAATGCAATCTGAGTTTAACGACTCGACAAATAAATACAAATATCTTGATCTTGAATTAAAAATGCAATTTCGTACAGTAAGTTATTATAGATGATGGGTAGTTCTTGAGTACTTACTTTACAACTGAGCGAGATTGCTAAGCTTACCTGTAATCATAAACTTGATTCCTAAACGAGTTAAAATAGCCAGGAATATGTTTACATACGTTAAATACCTAAGGCATAAGTTTTTGTTCAATTAAATTATTCTTGTTAATTAGATAAGTATTTTGATTAACAATATTTTAGTATCAGACAGATAATACCTACAGCTACATGCTGCATGTTCTCAAATGGTTACATAAGCTGTATTTATGATAAGTTTATTTATAACTTGAACTAATTCAAGATAAAAACAAGCAATAATAACTTTACTGTGCCTATTTAATTTATTTTGAACTAATATAGTTACACACCTAATGTCTAGATGCTAGACCTAAGTCGATTGATAGATCGTTTAAATTAAATCTAAAATGCTACAGATCGCGTATGCGACCTATGCTAACGTTTTTTACCCACAAACGGGATAGGCAGAAATGCACACATCAAAGAATACATTTTACTTTATGACAAACCAATAATTATGAAGATACTAACTACCTTTCTCCCGATCCATGCACAAAGGTCGACGATTCTCCAAGCTTTGGGCTTGCTGTTGCGGCGGTGGTTCCTCTCCTTTCGCGGCGTCCCACCTGATAACATGAACCACTCCATATCACTCAACTGCCCAGTGTCCAAAGCACATTCTATCTCTAATTCCACCTTTATGCTATTCTGTGTAAGAGCCCCCATAACTGAATAACTTTTCAAACAAGTGACATACTCCTCAACTTGGCACTCGTATACAAATAGCCCAAAAATTAAACACGAATTAATTTAACGTATTTATAAAGCTAAGCGATGATCCTCAGTCGCGTTCGACCGTTACCGCCGAACTTGAATGTAAAGTGCGACGATGATGTCACTACTATATTAGCAGCTGACTGACTCGAGATGTTTGCAATAAAAAGAGTTAGGTATATTGAGATAACAAGTTCAAGTTGCTACAAGTAACCCCTACTTTGTCGTATGTAGCTTTATCATCTTTTTCTATGACGACATCATGATAATACCTAAGTAGAGTAAACCTAGATTTCTTGTCCTTACGTTCATTGCAGGATATTTCGATATTTTGAGAACTTAATAGATTATTAAGTTATATTCTTAATCTTTACACGAACTCATCGCTCAGGTATTTAACCTACGTTCTAACTAGGTACCTAGATATTTACCTAATTAAAACATGTTGTTGGTTTAAATATCATAAATATTACACATTCCGGGTTATATTCAATCCAGGGATTTATTATTCCTAGTGTTGAGTTAGGTATAAATCACCCGTTTAATAACTTATCTGGTACAGCTAACTAAACTGGTAAGTACAAGTCCATTATGCCTCTACTCACCCTACTTAATATGCAATGTCGCGGCGATATAGACTTATTTATTTTGATAATACGAAGTTATCTATACCCTTTGAAACTACCTATTACATTAATACAAAAGGTACAAAACATTACCTGGTGTGGGATTTTCAGATGAATTATGTTTTATAAAATTATTACCCCTGTGTGATCTGTGAAGGGCGTCTTTGAACAAATTTGACTCAGATTTCAAACGTCTTTTTCGAACTTTAAATGAATGGTTGCTGTTAATCGATTTAAATGATGTGTCAGAATTACTAGACAAGCAAGACGGTGGCCCCTGCTCTATTTGAGGATCAGTCAGATCAGACATGCTTGACGAACAAGAACCTGAACATTTCTTTTTCCAAGGCTGCATTTCTTTATTTTCTCCATCACTGGAGTCGCGTCTGTAACGTTTGGATCTTACGGACTGTTCTGAAGTCTCATTGGATGTTGATTCCTGTATGTTGAAGTCCTTGCTAAAGGAAAGGCTCACGTCAACAAAGCTGCAGTTAACTGGCAGAGTCACAAAAGGTTCCGTTTGAGTGGAACTGCTGGTCGAATTCCCCGAACTAGAATTGAGGTCGTCAGTGCCCATGATGCTCACAAACGGAGGTGTCTTATTAAACGTTTTGTCTTTGTTTTCATGAGATGAAATAATATTATGATCCCATGAAGTGTTTATCGCATCGTGTTGAGAGCATTTTCTTATTACTTCTATTGAGTTATTGCTAATTTCCCTTTCTTCGGATGTATCAATGACAGCAATAGCAATTTTTTCCTCTTGTTTAAAAGACATCTTGAAATTTAATCTTTCACCCTTACGTAAACAAATACTTTTTTTTGTTACATAACAGTTAAATAATTCACTCGCTTAGTTTGTTTAGCTTAGCATTACTTCAAATCAAAATAAGTGGTGAACGTTTGAATAAATAAGTACATCTACCCTCAATTATCTCATAAAAAAAAAGTATATTTTGAGTACTCCACAACATTTTGAAAAGAATATAAATAGCAAATAACCATGTGTATTGTTACAGTCACATATTTTATCGCTCACTATATTTATTTTTGTGACTAACAATATTGTCTAAGTATTTCAAACACTATAATGCCTGTTAGTAATTGTGGATTGATTTAGTTTTCGAACGTGGCAACACTATCCCTGTCGGGCATTCGCGCGGTTTTGTTTTTGACAGCAACAGATTAATTTTTGTAAAACAATATAAACAAGTGAATACAAATTATTTTTGAAGAAGTCTGAGTTTTAATTAAGATCACCATCCTTCTGAGCGTTTTAGCTCAGAAGTGGGATTACAACAAAACATATTGTTTTGTTACGCCCACAAGTTAACATCAAATACAAAGAAACGAGGAAGTTCTGAAGAGAATCGGATCGGAGCCTAGTGGTAGACTTCAAACACTCATAACACCTAGGAGCCCCATACTATTAACAAAGGGAGTCTATCGTGATACAAGGAACAGCAATGGTATGCAATAAAACCGAAGTCGTGTCCTCACACGAACGTCAAAACCAAGATCGAAGTCGAAAGTTTAAAACTAAAGCTGGACCAACTGTCATCGCTTTCAGAACATTGAGGTCAGCCACCATTAACGGTGATTTGTTATTACACCAGAATTTAAACCTTAGTTCACTCGAGATTTGATCAAGTCATGTCTAAAATATGTTTTTCTTTCTTTCATGAATTGCGCGAGAGGCTTTATATATTGGAGCGAGAATTGATGAGACAACGACGCCGCAATCTGAAGTCACATGATGTCTCTGGTGATCATCGACGGCATGTTTGCAAATCCAGTGTGATTCGTAGCTCCTTTGGAAATAACACCGAAAGCTTGAGTTCTCAGCAACCGAAGTTCATTGAGCTGCTAAGTTTTTGAAGAATTTATTAATGTTTTTAAGGGTAAAGATTATGAATGGTTTTTGGTAAGATATCTTTTGTTTTTAAAGATTTATTGTAACTGTATTTAATTTACAATGCAATTGCAATGTTCTGTACCTAGACGTGATAGTGTCTGCATGACTCATGAGCTTGAGCAGAGAAGAGCCGAGCATGAGAGTTATGTATGGCAAACCTCGTCAAGTGGATGGTGGAAGAATAGAGAAGCTATCCTTTGTCGAGCTACTTTAGATTATTATAGTGATAGTGATTAATTTTTTTATGATTAGTGAGTTAATATCGGTGAAATAATAGAAATGGCATTTTTGTATATTTCATTTATGATTGCAATTGCAGTGTAGACTAAAATCAGAGACAGAGTGATAGTGTCTGCATGACTCATGAGCTTCAGCAGCGAAGAGCTGAGCATGAGAGTTATGTATGGCAAACCTTGTCAATTGGGTAGTGGAAGAATAGAGAAGCTATCCTTTGTCAAGCTACATTTAGATTATTATAGTGATAGTGTCTGCATGACTCATGAGCTTCAGCAGCGAAGAGCTGAGCATGAGAGTTATGTATGGCAAACCTTGTCAATTGGGTAGTGGAAGAATAGAGAAGCTATCCTTTGTCAAGCTACATTTAGATTATTATAGTGATAGTGTCTGCATGACTCATGAGCTTCAGCAGCGAAGAGCTGAGCATGAGAGTTATGTATGGCAAACCTTGTCAATTGGGTAGTGGAAGAATAGAGAAGCTATCCTTTGTCAAGCTACATTTAGATTATTATAGCGATAGTGTCTGCATGACTCATGAGCTTCAGCAGCGAAGAGCTGAGCATGAGAGTTATGTATGGCAAACCTTGTCAATTGGGTAGTGGAAGAATAGAGAAGCTATCCTTTGTCAAGCTACATTTAGATTATTATAGCGATAGTGTCTGCATGACTCATGAGCTTCAGCAGCGAAGAGCTGAGCATGAGAGTTATGTATGGCAAACCTTGTCAATTGGGTAGTGGAAGAATAGAGAAGCTATCCTTTGCCAAGCTACTTTGAGATTATAGGTGATGTGATTAATAATTTTATATATTAATGAAACAGCATAGTGAAATAATAGAAATAGTTCTTATGTACTTTATTTATGTTTGTGTTAAAACAATTAGACACATGAAACCAATTGTTCAGTTAGATTTGAATGCTGTTGATGGTTATTTACCTGTTTTTGTGTATATTTTATAAAAAAAAAAAAAATTGACAAACCAGATGAAACTTTAGGGATTTTTTTTAAGAAAATGTTTAAATCTCACTTTAGTGAGTACAGTGTAGTAGGAAATAGAAGGACTAGTAATAATAGATATTTGCAAAGTTCTTCAACCTGGACCAGCCCTACATCCAAAATCATTGATAAAATTAATAAAAATCAATCAGGGAGACTTCAAACAAGGGGAATGCAATGTGTATTAAATGAAAAAAAAAATAAAAAAAAAATTGTCATATAAAGCTATAATGTCATAAGCCAATAAAAAAAATATTCTGAATGCAACTTTTTAGGGCATAACTCAAATTCATAAAAAAAAAAACAAATTTGATAATGATAATGTTTCTAATAAAATTGTTACCAATAGTACAATGATTATAAGAGAAGTCTCCTAAAAGTATCTGTACATTATGACATAAATGATAAATATAGCAGAATACAGAGTAGGTATTCAAGTAAATTGTTAATGCTTGACAGTTTGATTTAGGTAGCCTATAAAATCGGTAGTCAGTGGGACACTGTTCAGAGACTTAGGCAGTATTTCCTGCCTAATATACAACTGTATGTATGTTTATGTAGGAGTAAATGTAGGAGGAACAGGTTAGAGGTAAATATTATAAATATTCCAGTGTTCCTTGAACACAGTTTTACGGAACAACTTAATTTAATTTAAGAATAGTTAAGACAGCTACTGATTTAAGAACTGAAAAGATTGATAATTTGACATGAGGGGTGATTACATCAATTTTTAGTAGGGTTCCACTAAAAATTGATGTAATTTCGAATCAGATATATAGGACTTAAAACAGTTACTGTTGATGCTCAAACGAATTATAGTGGTAGTATTTATTTTTGAGGTTCAATAAGGGGTGAACTTGACACTAAGGGAATATTGTTTATCGCTTTGTGAATACCGATGACCATAGAGTATGCTGTATTCTGATACAGACCTCAAGTTCTTAAACTATTCATTTTGTTAAACTGTCCATGTGTTAGTCTCTCGAGTTAGGACAATGTTGCATCAGAATCGAATTTTGGGTATGTTACAGATAAATAATAATTTGGATAATGGAAGTTTTTTTATTTATTTATAATTCATGGAGGACTAACAGCTTATAAAAATGGATAAAAAAAACAATAGGCGTAGGTAACAATGAGCCAATAACAAGTCCTCACGTTTAGCATTTGGAATAAATTAAATAAAATGGTGTGAGTACTATACAATATTAAAAATACATACATTCTGCGTAAATGAAAAAATAAATATTGAACAGACCGTACAGACACTATGATTATAAACAGATCAAGAGAAACGATAAAACGATAAAAAAAAAACTAAATATCTAGTGCTGCTTAAAAAAAATCTGAGGCTTAAGCACCTCTTTGCCGAGTTCACACTAGTTGTAAACGGATCGAAGTCATATTCCTTACAAACATTGTTAAAGTGTCTGCTTGCACGCATAATGTAACTATTCTGCCTGTAGTTAGATGAGTAACGGGATACGTGTCAAGGTGGATTAAATCTAAATATTTTATTAGGTACATTAAATTTGATTTTTGATAATAGTTCTGGACTATCCACATGCCGTTAAGAACTTTAAACAAGAATAGACAATCTGCAATATTGCGTCTATCTATCAATGGTAATAGATGGAATTTTCTACAAAGTTCAAGATAACGGGCAGACTGGTATGATATATTTTGGTGGAAACAGAGATATTTTATAAAACGTTTTTGAATGTTTTCCACGCGGTCAATATATTTCTGATATCTTTTTCGTCGTATCGTTTTGGTGGTTCTATAAAGATGGGAGATGGACTTGCTGTGATTGGAAAAGATAAATGTCGCGTTATGTTATCGAAGTACGGCTATTGTTGTTTGACAGGGTTGCATGATTTGGTCTGTGCGTCTGTGGCTGGGATCTATTTGACTGACTCAACGCTGCTCGTGTGCAGGCCTTGCCAACTCTCACATTCCGAACTTGCTTGTGTCCGAGGTTTGTCGTGGTCGCCGTGCAGGATGAGACCAATGTCCGCTTTCACGAATAGAGGATTTACTTGATTAGCTTTCAATATATTCGCCTTTCACGGCGCTTGACTTCGTGTTTGGTTCTTGTCAATACGAGTGGAGTCATGTGCCCTTTGGACTGGCAAACGCAACTTAAAAGTACCTTTGCCATTGTGTTTGACTGTGATACGTTGGCAGGTCCTCAAAATCAACCATGGTGATGTGGATCATTATGATTTTGAGAAGACTGTGCAAAGAGTCGAATCCATATGTTAGTTTCCTGTGATGAGGAAGACGGAAGGTATGTGTCAGCGTACTTGGAGTGGACGCACCGTTGGGTTCCGATAATGGGCGCTGGATGTCGCGCTGAATACCATACGCGCTGATCATCTCGGGCTATTTCCGCGCGGCGAGCATGGTGGCATGTGTGTTGTGGAAATTGTGGATCCCTTCATAAAGTGTGTTCATTTGTCTTCGGTCTATGGTACGGAATCCAAGGCAAGCATTAAAGTTTTTGGAAGCGTATTTGGTTTGTTTGGATCTTCGTCTGGGTTGATTGCTGATGTGGGTGCCAGTGTTATCAGTAAGGGATTTAGGACGTTTGTTAGGCCCATTGAGGCGGGACATGTGCATGGCTCGGTCGCGGCTCCGCGTCCCGGCGGACGGGTCGAGCGATGCAGTTGCGCGATATTGACCATGTTTTTTTAAAAGCAATGACACCGTTTGAGACCCCTACTGTCTGACGTTCATTTAGCCATAAAGTCGCGAAACGGTCACTAATGACCAACCGAATGACTGATTGCGCGGAAAAATTAGGCAATCCATCGCAATTGTAATAATGTCACTGAAGCGATTTTAAAACTGTGTTTTAAAGTGGGACTTGTATAGCAAACTAGGACAGGTGCTAGTGATCGCACTAAAGAATAAGGATCGATTTCAAGATAAAATAAGGATAGATTTGACAGATATCAAAGGTCATCAATGGAATATAGAGTTAGAGGTCTGATAATGATAGTAAGAGTTATTGTTCGGGGGTCAGGGAAGTCGAAGAAGCTAGAATCCAAATGCCATGGGCCGTACCAAATAAAAAGGTTTATACCCAATGACAAGTTCCTTACAGTAAACACACCGCCTTTGTAGAAGGAAAATGTATATAAGAAAATGAAAATGTATATATAATGTACTAGCTATTGATAAAATGAATCCCTAGATGAGTTTTGATGCACAGACATATTCTTTTATTTATGAATGTACAGATTAAAAAAAAAATATAATAGATGGTTACATTTATTAATGATGGTTATTTGGGGAATGAATCTCAGTTGAGAGAATAATTTGGTTTGTGGATAATTCACATTTATTGTTATATAGTATTGATGGTTATTCACTTGAGTGTATTTACTAATATTTAATCATTGCACAGAGCTTAAGTTAGCTTCCACTGAGCATGAGCACACTTTGTATATAACTCATCTTCTGTTGATTTGAGCCTAGCATGAGAATGATTATATGAACAGTAAGGGTTTTTTTTACAACACAGCTTGGTTAGATGAGAGGTGGACATGAATGATACGACCTGGAGGGTCGTAGCACAGAGTAACACAGCGAAACAAATTGGTGGTGAAGGGAAAGTGGAGTAACCTCCTTTTGTTAAGCTGTTATAGCGTATAGTTAAGTTGATTTAATGTAAAATTTAATGATCAGTTTGAATTTATATTTGCTAAATGTTATAAACTGATGAACCAACAAAATTATGTAACCAGAGAATTGTATTGTGAACCTGATTGAAAAAGAGTAACCTATGGAGTTTCTTGCTCGTTCTTCTCCATAGGAGTCTACACCTTGGAATGAGCAAATAGCTTCACTTTTAATTTTTCTGTTGCCGTTCAAAAGTGAAATGAATGATTTTGCTTAAAACAATTATGGCCTTAACGAAGGGACTCGTCAATGAGTCGGATGGCCGACTGTTACAGTCACATATTTTATCGCTCACTATATTTATTTTTGTGACTAACAATATTGTCTAAGTATTTCAAACACTATAATGCCTGTTAGTAATTGTGGATTGATTTAGTTTTCGAACGTGGCAACACTATCCCTGTCGGGCATTCGCGCGGTTTTGTTTTTGACAGCAACAGATTAATTTTTGTAAAACAATATAAACAAGTGAATACAAATTATTTTTGAAGAAGTCTGAGTTTTAATTAAGATCACCATCCTTCTGAGCGTTTTAGTATTAACAATATATTAAAATTAAATAGATTTTGAAGAACACTCTATAATCGTTACCTTTCTGCATCCGAACGAATCAAAATCCGATTAAACTTCAACGTCAAAGTCAAACAAACAAACTTTCAATGTCATTTCATTTTATAGTTGTTGGATGCCGCTCGCTGGATGGATTGCGTTTGCTTTGCCCAAAAAAGATATCGATCAAACGTAAACAGGACGATATTAAACAAATAATCTAAGTATATAATTCATTAATATTAAGCTACTACACTTTAAGTGCATAATAAGAAAAAATGCGTCATGTCTTTAAAAAGAAGATTATTTACTGTGGTGTCATTGTCGTAACATTGATAATTTTACTGCATCCCGATATGAATGCTAGTCGTTCTTACGAGTATATTGAAAAAGACAATATTCTTAGTAACCTACATGAAGCAACTGCTAAGAACTTTACTAGCACCGCCGTACTTGACTGTGATTATAATGACATTATACACGATGAAACTACTCTGTCCATTAGTTTAGTCGACGGAGACCTGATAGAAGGACACAAGATTAAGGAAGGGGGAGAATATGCTCCATCTAGCTGTAAACCGAAGTACAGCACAGCTATTATTGTCCCATACAGGTAAAACAAGTCTAAATCTATACTTTTAATTCAATCAACTTGTGATACCAGTAACAATAACAACAAATCTTTTTATACTTCAGGGATAAAGCTGAACAGTTACGTGGATTCCTAGTCTACATGCACACATACTTCCATCGTCAACATATCCACTACAGAATCTATGTTGTAGAACAAGTGGACTCCCGCCCCTTCAATAGAGCCAAGCTTATGAACATTGGGGCAGCAGCCGCCATGAAAGCAGGCTACCCTTGCCTTATACTACATGATGTAGACCTTCTGCCTCTGAGGCCGGCCAACTTATATGCTTGCACTGAAAGGCCTAGGCATATGTCGTCCAGCATCAATAAATTTAGGTGTGTGTGCTGTCATAGATCAAAATAGTCTCATAAAAAATGTTTACAATTTTGCTTATTCTTTTTGGTTTTTCTTTTTTTTTTTAGTTGAGCACAAGGCTGGCATGTATTGGATTGAAACATTACTTTCATACACTACTCAGTGAAACCATTTAGTTTGTTTCTTTTACAAGGTATTTTCTTGTGTTACTTTTCTGCTACATTTTTTAATTAACACTACTATTTTTATTTTACTTTCTTAATTAGGTGTCTTACTTTTCAGATTCGTCCTACCATACTTAAACCTCTTTGGTGGTGCTATAGCAATTCTTTCAAAGCAATTTAAAACTGTAAATGGTATGAGCAATGAGTTCTATGGAGTGTCTGGTGAAGATGATGACTTATATTCTCGTTTAGAGGCAAATGACCTGAAAGTGTGCAGGTTCCAACCAGAAACTAGTCGCTACCATATGGTATCATCTAAGGCTGAGAGGAGGTTGTAAGTATTATTTTTTATTACTTTTAGTTTAGTAGGAAAATATGGGTTGCAAAGTAGAAAGTGCTGTACAGTTTTTCCAATTATGAAATGGACATAGCGCAGAGATTGTATGTGTTTCTATAACAATGTTATATTGCAGCTGCTGTTAACAAATGACAATTAGGAGATGAATTTCTCCTTTATGTCAATTTATAAGGTTGAAAATTTATTAAAGGATTACATATTGGGGTGAATGTATGGTATCTATACATAAATGCTTTAAAAAATAAAATTTGATTGAAGAAAAATGTAACTATGTATTTTCAGGGAACAACGAAAAAAACAGTCAAGTTTTACTAAGGAAAGGATGGCAACAGATGGTCTAAACTCGTTAAAGTACACAGAGGTCGCCACTGTTCTTCATCCGCTGTTTACCCATATCATGGTTGACTTGTAGCATATCATTTGATACTACAATATTTACATCCATTTGATTGGGTATTTAAAAATGGAATTTATTCTTACTACTAATAATACTATGGATCTATTGAAAAAATATAAGGTATAAAACCTAAAAGGGATTTACATTTAATTAAGTACCAAATCAAATGGAGATATCATATCACTTGTTCAATTTCGCTTTAATTAAATGAAATTTTAAGACCACTCTAAATTAAATAGCAAGTTAGTAAGCTAGAATCTTAGAAAGTAATTCTCCAAAAATTTACAAACAACTTTCAACTTTAGCTTGATTAGAATAGAATCGAACAATACTTTAGTTATGTTTAAAATAAAATTTTTACCTGTATGTGAGGAGAGACAGGCTTAGAAATGTCGTTCCACTTGTCAATTTAAATTAATAAATAAGAACTGGCGGCATATTATGATGTCTTAAAGCCAAAATGGTTCCGCTGAGGGAACAAGATCTTGCTAGATGACTTGTATAACTCTGTTTCTTTCCCTCAATGGAACCATTCTGACTTTAGGACTTCATAATAACCCCGCAGTACTTATTTTCGCTGGCTTAAAATTCTCATTGAATTTTAGTGAAATAACTATAAGGTGACAAGCCAATATTATTATATTACACTACTATTCAATATCATTGGATACTTAAAATATTTAAGACATTTTAAAATTGGTGACTAATTTATTATACTCTCTGTACTCATAGGGCCGTCTGCAACCCCAATGATAGTCGAAATACTACTCTAATACTTGATACTTAGAGATTGCATTACTAAATCTGTCCTCATTGCATAATTAGACATAAGAAGACCAAAACTGCTATACCGCTAATGTTCCTATTGTCATTTCAATCTTATTAAAGCAATAATAAATAATAATGAATCATTGTGATATTCTTGTTGAGGGATTGAACGATTTCTGTCCATAGAATTCCGATAGTTAATTATTCTAGTGCAATTACATCTACGTAAGTCTAACATGTTAAAAACTTTAAACTTTTAAAATTGTTGACTTGTATTTAAATTGTTTCTATGTATTAGCAATTGTTTCTAGTCGAAATGTGTTAAAATTACTACATAAGAGGATGTGATCGTTAAGGAGACAAAAGAATATCTGGGTTACATACTTTTAAATACTAGAATTAGTTTTAATTGGTATTGATTCGTCGCTGTTGAGTGTTGATGACACTAGTCTGTGTCACAGTGTTAAAAATGTAAAAAGATCAATTATGAAATATAATGGTATATTGTAAGTAATTATTGTAATGTAACGTCATATCACTGGGTAACAAAGGAATTGGGTGGAAATAAAATAATTGAATAGAAAATGTAGGTAATCAGTAGACTGGTTAGTAGGTAGAGTACCTACGCAATGGTTTGTTGTGGTTTAAGAAAATTATTATCTATTGAATTTAATAGCCATTTAATTAAGTATTACTGAAGTTCTTTTTGTAAGTACAATTTGTGTGTCGTCTAAATTATTTATCTACATAATGTTGATACAGAGTAGTTTATAAAATATATTATGAAATAAAAACTTAGCCGTCCGACAATAGAAAATACTAATTTATTCAAACAATGTACCTACTTATACATTTTGCAATAAGTCGCAAAACCGAATTTTCGATTCAACTTGTACTCCTTGACTTATTTTGTTAATTTTAGAATTAGCAGTAGCCTAAATAGCAGAGCTAGTGCAATTGCTCAAAATCACGCGAGTAACTTCCTTACCTACCTATTTGTAATCACTACAACACTTTGGTAGCAAATAAAACAGTTACAATAAACCTCGTTTTGTTATTTTTAAAACCTGACTACCTAGATATTTGTAAACTAATTGTCCCCTACAATTAGTTTACTAGCAGTACAAATCTGTTTGTTGTAGTTGTAGCATTAGTGGTAGAATAATATTTTATGTTATAAATATAGGAATGTTAACTTAGATAGTAAAACAACAGTATTTTGATTGATTTTTAGATATATTTGGCATTACCATTTTCACAGCAGGTGGTCCCAAATCACAAGGGGGGAATCTAATAAAAATACACGGTTATATCTGTGGAATAAGTATTGGTAAAGTTTGTCATAATATTTACAACATTAATTTATAAAATACTTATTTTTACCGACATTAAACATTGAATGTAATGTTTGGGGGAACTATACATAAGTATATTACATACAATAAAATTATTGTAGAAATTACATCAAGATATTTACATGAGAACAATTCTAGCCTGCCTATGTAACATCACCAATTTACAAAAACATATAATTTAAAACTACTTCCACATACCATAAGAATACATTGATAAAAGCCATTTAGCTTTAAAAGCAAGGTACACCTGAAGTTGTAATTTTAAAGTAAATCGCAAACCTTATAGTTAGCACCTATCTAAAAGTTAAATCACAATGAATGTAGTTTTTGCACCATGCGCCTATCACAAATTAAGACTCAAACAAAGGAACTTAAAAATTACAAGAATATAGCACTCAATATTTAAAAATAATCACAATTTAAAATTATACTATTATTATTTTATTCGTCAGAACAAATATTTTAATATTCTCTATAGTTTCACCACACCAATTAATTATATTTTTAATTTTAGATTACTTGAAAGTAAAAAATAAACCTGAACAATCAACCGCTTATAATTCACCCATGTATTACTATACTCTATGTGTTCACCAATGAGTATGGCAACACCTTTGTAATAATAATAATTAAATATGTTTTTATAATTACTGTCGTGAGACATACTATATTGAGTAAAATCGCGGGTTACTCACGTGAATATACTGAGAAAACTGAGAAAAGCTCTACTAGTTTCGAACCACAGAGGGGTTCTTCCTCATGAGCAGCGTGCGCGGTCGCCGCGACTCTCAGTTATTTTCTTAGTATATTCACGTGAGTAACCCACGATTTTACTTAATAATAATGAATTATAAAAAACAACATAAAAAAATGCAAGCTGCACACATAAAATGGTAATCCTACCAAATGCATAATTAATATTATGAAATTCTTTTATACCAATGTAGGTACTAAAATTAACATTGAATTTATTAATATTATTCATCTATCCTACCAAATATAGCAGGTACTCCTTCCTCAGTACTCTGACATAAAACTTTTGAGTCTAAGTCACAAACTAAATTCAGATACAAAAACCATTTTTCTTTTTTTTTTTGTCATGGTTTAAAAATATTCTATATTCTGTCAGTATTGTTAAATTAAATATTACTGCCAACACCTATATGAAACTAGAGTTGAGTATCAGTTATAATATTGTACCTTATCTTTTGGGGCATTTCAGTAAGGATAAGTTTAATACGACAACACGGTTAGTGTGGTGGCTGGGCAACCAGCTGGGACGGAGCAACTCTTTGTGTGATCCACAAATTGTTGTTCCGGCTCTGGGTGTCATGTGTACGTGAACTTGTATGTTTGTAAACGCACCCACATGACACAGGAGGAAATCCTGATTTTTTATAAAAAAAAATGTAAAGAGCACAATATTTTTTATTTACACAGTATAATTAAAAAAATATGTATTTAGGTGGTGAAAATGTTAGAAATCCCTTAAATTAGCTGAAGAATGCTCATTCTAAGGTAAAATAATTCATTCAGCTACCCTTTATACCTTCAGAGCTGTATTTTAAACAGTTTTCCCAGTACAAGATAAACATATTTCTCAGCACAATACAAATTTTCATTTCAATCATAAGAGAATAACATGGCAATAATATTTAACAATACAGATACATTCACCACATAACTATGGCCGTAAAACAAGCATACATACAAGTCCAAGTACGAATGAGAATACCAGTTTAAGATTTGAGCCAATATGGAGCCAGTCCGGCCATTGTGATTTAACAAGTTCTTCTGGTTGAGTTGGTAGTAGGAGAGCGGCAATGCAACATATGCTAACTGCTACCGCTACTACGTTCACAGGCTGCTGTTCTCTGCAAAAGAAAATTGATTTTTGACTACAGTGCATAATGTCTCAATTGCAGCGTCAGCCATCTGGAATCAACACGACTAAAAAAATACATGTGGGGAAATACAGAACAAAGAAGTTCTAGAATCCTTACATATGTCTCCTACAAGATCATTTTCTAATCCTTACTTTCATCCATTCTTTCAACATGTCCAGACTATCATAGCATATCCTTCTTCATGAACAGGTACAGTTAATAAAAGTTAAATTCATATCAACTGTTATCAATTAAAGTAATCCAATATTAAGGTTGTTACACATGTACTAAAATAGCATCGTAAAAGGGCTTTCATTAGCATGCTCAAAAATTGAACTCCTATGTATTCAACATGCCTGAAATGAGCATGCAAATTTTGATCAACATTCGTTGGAATGTTGTCGACACATGCTATTAAGTGGCAAGTGCTGAATTTAAGCAGCTTTCGTGCATAAAATTAGCATAATAATATGTAACATTTAATACTACCTTAATTATAAAGATGACATACTTATATAAAACAATAAATTGCAAGAACAAAAAGTTGGATAAAGTAGAAATATCATAATGACTTATAATTTTTATTCAAAGTTGTATTGGATTAAAAATACAAAAGAAGAATTATTTCTTTATAATTCAAGGTCATTTTATGTCATTATCATTGTTATCAATGTAAATTAACCATTGCTACTCGTAATCAATCTAAAGGTAACATTATTTTATAAAGATTTTATATGAGATAAAGATTTATTATCAGTAATCTCACATTATTTTGTTATTCATAACAAAAACAATTATTTACTTGTGATATCCATCAAGCCCACTTGAGGTTATTGTACTTTGATGTGAATGAACTAAACATTGAATAATTTATTATTACCACTTTTGTTTCTAGTAATTACATACCTACCAAACTACCAACTGAAATTATAAATTATATGCATTGCATACTAAAGCTTAATTCTTACTGTGTAGCAACTAATAAGTTAAATTATATATTTGTCTCTTTTTTTATTCAAACAAAACAAAAGTGTGAAAAGTACCATGTGGTTTTTTGACCATGTCACCATGGTGCTTGTGGTATTTTTTTAGAGTTCAGTTTGGTTATTGTAGAAGCTAAAATACAAAATTAGTTGCTAATTTTAAATACTTATTATTTAGCTAAGTAGGAAGTAATCAATCAAAAAAGTATCTATACAGATAAATAAAATTGGAGTATTTGTTTGTAATATTGTAATAACCACTTTTTACTACATGCATATGAATGTATGATACATATACACTTTTTGTCTGTCTGTCTGTTTGTACTGGCTAATCTATGAAATGACTGGACCGATTTTGACAGAACCTTTATTGGAAGTAGCTAATGTACTAAGTTATAACATAAGCTATTTTTATTTTTTTAAATGCAGATGAAGTTGCGGTTTCAACTAGTATTTGAATAAACCTAATTTTATGTCAATCTAAAGATAATACAGTTTTGTGACATGGGAGTAACAGTAATTGTATAATTATAATACCACTGACCTGTGTGAAGGATGTGTGCAGGGTGCTACTCGGGAATGTTCCTCCGTAGTCCTCAACGGAGCCGGCCTCATTGTAAGAGGATGGAAATCATCCCCAAAACACTCTTGACTTATATTAGAAGGCTCTCCTTCTATCAATTTCGTCAAAATATCTCTCCTACCTACTACCTGCAAATAAACGTACAAAACGCATTTATTAAATATTCAAGAAGTCATGAATCATTAATTTTAACAAACATTGAAACAGTTGTGTTTATTTCAAAATGTATAATCACCTTGCTTTCAAGGTGATTACAAAAATTTGATTGAAATTGATAAACATACCTGCTGGGTGTTTTTGTCAAACATAGTTAAACGAAATTTTTCGAGAGAGTCAGACTGTGTCTGAGACGTTGGGGTATATCGCACTACAATGTCGATGCAGCTCTGTGGAGCGATCACGCCTTCTGGATCTATGACCGTAAACTTCTTCGGTGAGGTACAAAGTACTGAAAAAACAAATATCACTATCAAACAAAAATTCTACGAGACAATTACGACACGTTTCATTTCTTTCAATATGTACCTTTCAAATTAACAGGGAATTCATAAGGATTGTATACAGTTAGTAATTGTTTGTGCGTGTGTCTTGCATTAGAGTAAAATTCCAATGATATTGGAAATACGAAAATGGGCAAATTTTTCATATTTAATAATATTTTGCTAACAACACAATAGAAAAACAATAACAATTTCACGCGAGCACATACACAACTGACAATGACATGATGTAGTGTTGACAGTTTTCAATGCTAAAATAATGCTTAATTGCCATAAAAGAAAAAAAAAGAAAAATGCTTGGCCAAAATCATAGATTTCTGTGGTCAAAATTAATCAGATTATTTCCTAAAATAATCGGTGTAAATTGACGATATTTTTGAGTATGGAATGAAACTGAAATGAATGTTGTCTCCGTTATTGGTTCTGTATTTTTTATTATCTGATAATCCTGACATGATCTTCAGGAAGCTTCTTTTATACGAAATGTATACCTATGACCCTGAAGTTACATTGCGTTACATGTTAAGTACATAGAATTATGGCAGTTTTGGATTATTATTCGATTAATTTAAATATGTTGTGAATATTTTTCACATTCAAAATAGGTAGTGATTTTATCGTGATTATATTTTATTACCGATTATTGTCAATTGTCTATTTCGACAATATAAGAAACGTGCGAGATAATTGTTTGGTGTGCCCATCCTTAACTTCTAGATATATCTAGATATATATTCTACTTACTACTTGGGTGAATTTTATGCCTAATTATGGTAAGATGCCACGGCCATGATCGAAGAGAAAGTTATAAACATAATGCTCAGCGTCGCCGACGTTGCCTTTCGAGAACAGTCCTATGGCATTTAATTAATACCGGTTTATTTATTTACTAGCTTTTAACCGCGGCTTCGCTCGCGTCACAAAAGGGTAAAAAGTAGCCTATGTGACATATACCAATACATACAGCGCCATCTATACCAATACTTATGTTTTTCCTCGGGAATATAATTTTTTTCCGGCTTAAAAAGTACCCTATTATTTAATCCGGACTTCTAACTTTACGTCTGCAAAAATTCAAAGCAATCGGTTGAGTAGTTACGGCGTGAAGGTGGAACAAACAAACAAACAAACAAACTCACTTTCAGATTTATAATATTAGTAAGGATTTATTTAATCTTTAATGTACACAATTTTAATATGGCACATAAGGCGGACTTAATGCCATATGGCATTCTCTACCAGTCAACCTTAGGGTTTAAATAGAAAATCTGCGAAAAATAAGTTTAACTATTTACTACACACTACTTGATTGAACGGTTGGTGCGGTGGCTAGGGAACCGTTTGCCGCGCAACATATAGTGGGTTCGTTTCCCGCACGAAGCAACTCTTTGTGTGTTTCACAAATTTTTGTTTCGGGTCTGGGTGTGATGTGGATGTGAACTTGTGTAAACGCACCCACGACCCAGGAGAAAATCCTAGTGTGGGAATCTTATATTCGCAGATTCTGTATTAATATTGGAGTAATAAAAGGAGAACGGCAGATTTTGTACCGCTTCGCTAAAAAAAGATTTGTCATTAAAAAATTGGGTCGTTATAGAACCTCCTAAGTACGTTATGTTAGCATATTTAATAGATTTTTAAAACTTGGGAAACCCTAGACAAACTGATATTCAATAATGATAAAAAGCAATCCACTATACGTAAAACGAACCGCGATTGACGTTTACAAAGTTGCCATGCGTAAAGATGAAATCAGGGCATATTGAATTTCGCTATTTCATAAACTCATTTATTTTAATATCTATCAATGAAATATTTTCCTTTCCATTTCAAACATTTTTATAAGTAAATATAAAAATCTACATCCAATCTAAATCTACGTTTACATGGATTATTAATGATAATTAACATTTTAACAAACTTGAATATTATGGCAATGTTGAACTGGCATTTGTCTTGATGACATTGACAATTAATTTGTCAATACTGGCGCATTGCTGTTTGTTTCAAATGCGATGTTATGATGTGTTTGTTGAATTTGAAGTTATTTTATTCATCTGGTGATACGTTGAGTTTGGCAACCGTTCCTCCGTAGCCCAAATTGGTATTATTGGAATCATTGTTGTGACAATTGCGAAAAGACACTTATTTACATTGTTTTGTGCAGTGTGTTGTTATTTGTCGCGATGATGAATTTACAGTGTATTAATTGCATTCAGAGTTTGTCGCACATGAGACGGCATGCTCTAGAAAATGAGAGTGAAGATTAGACGTGGTCAACAATATCCCAATGTGGACTTATCCTAGAGATGTAAGTACCTAGTTTACCCATAACATATCGAAAGTCACCATGTTGCCTGAATAAAAGAAGGCGCATAGTGTTATCTACCCATAATGTATCATTTTATTCTTTTTATTCTAGATCTCTCCTACCGACCATATTTGCAATGCTTGCTGGCAATTAGCAATGTATCGGGATGTTGCTGAAAGTATGTCCAGCAAACAAATTGGTCACTGGCATGTTTGTGTCGTATATGGGTGATTCATTGCAATGATAAGGTGACGCAGGGTTTTAATTGAAGGCGCCAACAAACAGGAGTAAAGACTGGCTCATATAGTATTTGATTGGATTCAGCCACAAGAGGTAATAAAGCATAATTTAACCATACTATTATCTATATACAGTGTAATCTAAAGTCAATATCATATTCTAATAATATTACTTATTTTAGCTTACTTCCCATGATAAGATCATGTTCCATACTGACTGTGAGACCGTACAAGAGTCGAAACTATAAAACCACAACCTGACATACCACCTCACAGTGTTCACTATCAGGAAGTAATGTATTATGTAAACATGGACTAAGCCTCACTTTAACATTGCCATTTGTAGAACAGATGAGGCCGGATGATGTTGTTCGGCTCTCAAAGCTTCAACAGGTATGCATTCTCAATATAATGTACCTACATAATTATGTATCTATGTGGAGTATATAAGCGGTTTCTAATAGGTTTATACTCATGTTATAATTATAATTTATTAATTAGCATGCTGTTTGAGCTCCTATAATAAATGTTATAAAATGAAGTAATGTAATCAAATATTTATTTTTATCTTTTCCATTTTAAGATAGGGAATCAAACTTATTATTATAACATATAAAACTAAAGGAAAAAAATGTACTTTTGTTTACTTTATTTACAGTTATCTTACTTGTTTACAGATATCAGCAATTGATGTCTGCTGTACCTATGACACGGCCTGTTCTCTTTTTAGATGAAGTACTCCTAGAAACAACCTGAATACAATGAAATAAAAGTATTTCAAAATAATACATTTGTTTTATTTTAACCTAGTAAGTAACTATATATTCCATCTTGATAAAAGTGATTTTAAGAATCAATCTATAAAATAAATGCCATATTTAATTTAGATAGCTTTAGTTTTATACCAAAAATGTTCATTTTCATTTTACATTTTCTTTAGTTGTAATGTGGTGGCCCAGAGGTTTAAGAAGCCCGCTTCTCATGCATGAGAGTGCGGGTTCGAAACCTACCAACGGCAAAGTACCTTTTGTCCAATGTGTCTTTTTTCCGAGTTATTGGTATATTCAATAATCTAAGAAAGTACAAAGACACTGCTGACGAATGGTGAAGGAAAACATTGTGAGGAAACATGGGCTTATAATTTCTTATTATAAGTTTGAATTACCAACCCACATTGAGCTAGTATGGTGATTAATGCTCAAACCTCCATGCGAGAAGAAGCTTCGGTCAGCAGTGGCCACTTATAGACTTAATGATGAAAATGTTGATGATTCTACTAATTTGACTTACTTATTAGAAATTAATCCTTACATGCGTGCTAAGCAACCAGTTTTCAGAAGAAATACTTTCTCAAAGAGCTAAGCTAAGTTTAAATCGAATTAACTTGAGACCCTTGAGACTATCTACCTGCAAGATTCAAGGTGAAGTGAGACATTAGTTTTATCATATCCGCCACAAGACTTCCACTGCTAAATGTAGGCCTTCTACCCAATGACAGTCACTTACATTATGAATTTGCATTTTCGTAGGCACCTAAGAAATGAAAAAGATTGTGAGGCATACTCTTTAAAACTCTATAGGTGCATCATGCTTGCTGAATTAACAGGATCATTCCTAATTGCCTTTTGCGCTGCGACGCACCATAGGTTATTTTTTGGGTTTCTAAATTCTTGTTGTGTGTCGTAGCAAAATAAATGGTTTTTCTTTCTTTCTTTCTAATAATACAAAGTGTAATAGTCACTTGAGTAGCGAGCAGTATTTTTAGATTTTTGTTTTTTGTAAATAAACAACCACATGTGAACAATATCGGCCGAAAGTCCTTTGGAGCCTATTACTTGAAATAATACGAAGTACCTCAGAGCAAGACAATTTATTTACGTCAAAGCAGACAACCTAATGTTTTGCCGGTAACGAAACCATAGCTTGAATTTAAATCGGCCAACGCCATCTATCGAGCTATGGGACAACACAATAAATAGTAGTATGGCGTTGGCCGAGTGCATCTTTTAAACAGATTATTTCTACACTGAACATTCCGCCCACCAAAAGGAATATATTCCTTTTCGTACCGCCCACCATGCATAAACTTAACAACTAGGAGAACAGTGGACTGTATAACAATTATATTACTATATTACGAATAATACATCGAGATAGATCTAGTGGACGGCTTCTTTTAGCAGACATTGGCGCGGACAGTTATGGTTTCAATCAAAATGAATAGATATAAGTACAAAAACATTAATCTGGGTGACGAAATTCTTGATACCGGCAAAAATATCAGGTTGACAAAATTCTGACAAAAACAATATAACTAAACTACTAACTAAACATTGTAATCAATACATGACAGTGCACAAGAGTAAGAGACATTGTTTTCAACAGTGCAGTATAAGAAAATAACATAATAAAACCTTATCTAAAAACATACGCAACTTAAACAATTAAATCTACAAGATTTTGTGCCTTATTCGGTAACAGGAAGAAAACACAATTTTGAAATTGGACGTTTAATCATAGAGCCCTTACAACGAACAGTGACAACTCGCGTCAAGTTATCTCTACCCGGATGCAGCTCAACAATTCTGCCATACAA